AACCGTGAAATCTCCTCTTTTGAGAACCTCTGTCCTAACTAGTACAATCGTTTATATTAAGCGTTTTCTTAACGCGGACAAAAGATTATTTATTTAATTATTATTATTTATATTTTTATTGAAAAATAATTATGATGTTTTTAAATTAATTTTTAATATGTATTTTATTTATTATTATTTATTTTTCTAATTATTCTTATATTAATATTAATAATAATTATTAGAGTTATAGTAACATTAATAACCAATACATTAAAATATTATTAATAATAATATAAAATTTTATATAACAATATTATTAAAACTGTTATTTTTACCACGTCTTTTAAAGTCTTGGTGAAAGTACTTGTGTTTCTCTTAAATTACTCGCAACAAGACACTTCAGATTAAATGGAATAGATATAATTTTAAAAAGTGAAAAATCTAAAGATTTTAATTTTGTAGCCTAATTTAAACTAAGCTCATGTAATTAGAGTTTTAGTTGATATAATAAATATTATCACTAACTAAGAGCCCAAAATTTGACTAATTGTATACTTTGGAACTGCTGATGATTAAACAAGCAGCATTTCGTTTAGCCCCATTTTTGGTCGAAAAGTGCTAATATTGTCCGCAAATGAACGATAACTTGACTAACCAAATAAATTCATACGTGGGAGAAAGTGATACTGTAACTCCACGGCTCAACGAGCGCCACCTAGCGGCCGCAGGAATAAACACCAGCCCCTCAAAAAAGACTCCAGTCTTCAGTTGATGTACGGGAGTCATGAACTAAGCATGCTGTTTCCCGAAATGCTGCTCCCCGAGATTTACTTTGTAACTTAAATGTTTAATTATAACGCCCTTATTTGTAATGTTTTATCTTAATTGTGTTTTGAAAATTAAAACTATTTAAAAAGGCCAAGTGAATTTTTGTTTATGTTAGTTTTGGTTATAGTTGGCTACCCAACGTGCTGCTCGAATTATTTTTCCAATTGAGAAAAAACCATGTTTAGTTTACAATTCCAGGACATCGACTCATTTTCTTTTCCAGGTTTTAGGTACTACTCCTACCAGCGAAGTCCTCACCCTAAGATTATTTTGGAAATTGCATAAAGTAGCGGTTTTATTTTCACCCGAAGGTTGTTTTGCACATTGCATGGTTTCATCTTCACCCGAAGATAACAGATAGCATTTAACTTAATAAGAAAGAGATTTTCACTTAATAAGCATTTAACTTAAAAAGAGATAACAGTTTTATTTGAAACAATATAAAATTCTAACTATAACGTCGTTAATATTTAATAATATTGAATAAAATGTGTCTTTGAAAATGAAACAGAATCATATATAAAATATATATAAGCTCTAGGTGTTTTCTTTAAGCTATGCTGCACTTTAAGAATTTATATTGTCTTACATTGTTTAAATAACTGATTTTTATTTGAATTTCCTGTGTTTTAATTCTGTGTTCTAACTGAAGATTAATTTCATTAGAAGTCAACAAAAGTAAAATTTCGTTTCGCTTCTGAACGAAAAGTGTTTGCGTAACAAAATATTATTTTTATTCTGATTGATAAATGTTTCCGGTGCACATAATTCTTTTAGTAATTTTATGACTATATTGCTATCAATGAATGACTTATATGTTTTGTTTTATTTTATTTTATGAATAATATTAACGGATATTTTCTTATCCTCTTTGAGAATAGAAGTGATTTAAAAGTGGAAAGGGTTTTATCTAGTATATTATTTAATCTGTGCACTAATATTTTTTTATGCAATAAGAATACTTCTTTTAAATTAATGATTTATTTACCATTATTCTGAAAAGGCATTCTAATATTTGCTACATATTCGAATTGTGAGCTTATAAAAATTTTAAATTATTATTTCGTTATATTTGAGAACAACTTATACATCTAATTGTGGTTTTCAAAGAGAACTATAGTCTAAAATTAATTTCTAAAAGCATTTAGGATTTTGTAGACATCACAGGCATAACTAATAGAAGATTTATCAAAGTTCAGTTCTATTTTTGGGAAATTTATGTTTACTAAATTTGTGTATTTTATTGTTCATTTGGCAAGTGTGCCAATCCGTGTAAAATGTTAGTTTCGTTTTCGAAGCAATCTCAGATTAATGATTTTGTTTTCGATGTTGTTTTTCAAATTTTATGTAATTGTTAGGGGTAATTAAGAAACTCATAAAATTTCTGAACATATAATTTTTCTTAAAAAAATATTGAACTTTTCAACGGACATTAAAAGTACGATAACATGCATTTTGGGACTAACCAAAAAAAAAAAAAAAGCTCTCTAAGCTGGACGAAGGTAACATACAAAACGGCGTACTGAACTAAATCGCTTATTGAAAAAAGAACAAGAGAACTCCTTGGAACCAGGCGGAGATCCAACTCCATGTAGTGAAGATTTAAAGTAAATCATGTTGATTCTATGTTGTTGAATGAATCATCCCGATTCAGTGAAGGTTTGAAGAGAATCATCCTGATTTTGTGTTGTTGAATGAATCATCCCGATTCAATCATCGATTCATGAAGTTGATATTCTGAAGTCATCCCGATTCAATGAAATCATCCTGAAATGTGAAGTCATCATTCCATCGATTCAATGAAGTATGAAGAGAATCATCCTGATTCTATGGAGTTTTGAGTGAATCATCCCGATTCCATGAAGTATGAAGAGAATCATCCTGATTCTGTGGAGTTTTGAGTGAATCAATCCAATTCAATGAAGTATGAAGAGAATCATTCTGATTCTATGGGGTTTTGAGTGAACCATCCCGATTCAATGAAAGTATGAAGAGAATCATCCTGTTTCTGTGTTGTGAGATGAATCCTCCCGATTCAATGAAGTTTGAAAAGAATCATCCTGATTCAATGAGGTTTAAAGGGAATCATCCCGATCGAATGAAGTATGAAGAGAATCATCCCGATTCAATGAAGTATGAAGAGAATTATCCTGATTCTATGGAGTTCCGTGTGAGTCATCCCGATTCAATGAAGTATGAAGAGAATCATCCTGATTCTGTGATGAATTGTGTGATGAATCATTTCGATTCAATGAAGTGCGAAGTGAATCATCCCGATTCAGAAATGTTTGAAGGAATCATCCCGATTCAATGAAGTATGAAGAGAGTCATCCCGATTTAATGAAGTATGAAGAGAATCATCCCGATTCAGAAGTGTCTGAATGAATCATCCTGATTCAGTGAAGTATGAAAAAATCATCTCGAGTCTGTGAAGTTTTGAATGAATCATTCTGATTTAGTGGAGTTTGAAGAGTATCATCCTGATTCTATGCTGTACCATGAATCACCTTGATTCATTGAAACTCGAAGGGAATCATCCTGATTCAATGAAGTTTGAAGGGAATCATGCTGATTCAATGAAGCTTGAAGGAATCACCCAGATTCTATATTGCTGATGAATCATCCAGATTTAATGAAGAGTATAAACAGCACAAAAATATATTACTCTCAAAAGGCTTCTTACGAACCAGGTGACAGAGCATGGGTGACGTTACATCCTATTTGCAGACCAAACCAACATATTTCTGGCTCTTCGCCGAGACGTCGTACGAGCCAGAGGGGGAATCTGTAACCACACGGCTCAACGAGCGCTATCTACCGGTCGCCGGAATAAACACCAGCCAAACAAAAAGAGACTCTAGCCTTCAGTCGATGTACGGGAGTCATGAACTAAGCATGCTGTTGCCCCGAAATGCTGTTCCCCAAGATTTACTTTGTAACTTAAATGTGTAATTATAAAGCCCTTAATTGTAATGTTTTATCTTAATTGTGTTTTGTTAATTAAAACTATTTAAAAAGTCCAAGTGAGTCTTTCTTTATGTTAGTTTTGGTTATAATACGTAAAAACAATGTACGTTTCTAATTTAGCGTAAGAATGTTTTTATCATTTATTAATAAGCATTTTTGACCTCCAGAAACCACATAAAAAGTTAGTTTTCATGCGTATAAAAACAACACACCGTAAAGAGGAAACTACTTTTATATATTTATACACCTGATTTTATTAAACTTCGTTACCAGAAGTACATGTTTAGGGTAAAATTTAAGAAACTTCCCACTGCAGCAACTTTTTATGAAATATGATGTATAGTTTCCTGGTAATATATCATTGTGTTGCTACTATTATTATTATTATCTTAGATTGTTTAACGTAATACAGTTTATTTCTTTAAATTTTTGGTCTGCATGATTTAATATACTTCTGTCAATACATTCTATTATAATTTAAATAAATAACTACTTCACCTTGGTTATCAAATGCATGTGAAATCTCGTGGCCAATGATATAACCGATTGCTGCAAAATTCAGATATCTGAAACATTAATAAACATCGTTTTATCAATCATCTTACTTTAGAAATTTTATGAGGAAAATAATAAAAATAAACGCGTTTGCTGTGGAATTTAAATTTTAAAAAGTACATGTGGTGTATATTAATAACTTACTGTGGTCGATCCTTGTTGAAACTGGGATCCTGTAAATATGCTACGGACATCTCTGTAAAACAAATGCTGTATATAAGGAATGTACCCAGACACTAGATATAAAATCTCATGCGATTCATTTACATAAAACCGTTTCACGTGGGCTACAGAGACTAATTTCTTATGCATTGAAGCCATTTAGTTAAGAATTCAATCAGCAAGCAACAGATGAACAAATTGACAGTGTTTGCCATTCCTTGCTTTAAATTAAGTATCAAATTTTAAATTTCCATAGAGAACTAATTTTCTTTGAACTTTATTTAATGTAGTGAACAAACACGATGGACATATATGTCCTAGGTCTCAGGAAAAAGTAATAGTTACAAATTGGAATATTTCCGAAAGAGTTTTCTTTCTCCGAAACAGTTGCTTTTTCCCGTTGAATTTTAGACATAAATACATATGGTATCAAGCCGGATACAAGTAATTACATCTTTTCTAAAGCGTTTTGACTAATCCATAGTCCCCAAAAAATTCTCATGATGAATCCTGTGTACAAAGGAATGGTGAATATGCAATATGAGTGAGCTTCGATGCATATACAGAAACCATCCGCATCAGAATTTCTTATTAATACATCAGAAGATACGGGCAAGGCCTGCGTTTCTTTAAGGAGAGTCATCACTTTTGCGCAACACAAAAGTGAGAATTTTAGCTGATTTTCGAGTTTTAATAAGTCAAATTCTTTCTGTCATATATATATGAAATTTTCATTGTGTCATCTCTATACATAGATGATTATATTTCTTGATTTACTTTACTTAATAGTGTATAAGTATTTGTTTTATAAATAAAAAACTAACTGTATTTTCCGAAAATTTAAAATTTGTACTGAAGCACTGCGCGCAAACTGACAGTAATACAAATTTAGTTACAGTAAAAACATTTTTATAATTGTGTAATGAAATATCATTAGGTATGATTCTTCCCCTGTTTAAATTTTAAATATCAAAGAATATTAACACTACAATAAGATCTTAGAAAACAGAAAAGCATTAAAAATTTTAAGTAAAATTATATAAATACTTAAAAAGTAATTTTTCAAAGGAAAGGGTAGGTGCATTTTTTCAGCAAAATCATCATGTACTTACCCTGAAATTTTCAAATCAATAGCTATGAGAGATGTTTTAAAGAGTGCATGCAAATATGAAAATCACAATTTTGAAAAAAATAAATTTTAAAGTTTAAAGTTTCAAAATTTTTAGTATATATTCTCTTAAATAATACTAAAACAGATTAAAACCGCTCAGCTGCAACACCATACCCTCCTGTTCTTAAATAACTGTTACTGCAACAAGTGTGGATCTTTTTCTTGTTCTGCAAGCATTTCTTGTAGATGTCTCTACCTTTATTTCGGCTGATTGAATACCACGTTGGTCAGTGTTTGCTGCAATCTTGACTGCATTATCACCAATTCGATATCCTTGTTCATTCGTAGTATGCAATCGCCTAGCTTGGCCATCGTTGTATATAATATCTGCCTCATTCACTGCTGTTTTAACACTATTATAACCACACCCGTAATTTTTAGGACACAATTTGCAAATCAAAGCATTCAACGATTTATTTGGATTCTTTGCATGTCTTCCTAAACACTTTTTTAGTAATAATCGCACGCTAAGATCTTTAAGTATATCTTTGGTAGCATCCATTACAGGTGGTGGAATTGAATTTTTATGTTTGTTACGATTTCAGATTTTCACTCGCGCTCGCTCTTTGATATGTACACTACGAATCCTCCACTTTTGGGCCAAAAATTGCGGGTAGGTTCCACGTCGGTTGGACTTTTGTGGTAAAATATTCCCCACACTGCCTTTTGCATATCTCTTACAGAATTGCAATGTTTTCTATTAGCATTTCCATAATGTAAAAATTAAATCAATCTACGAGTGAACATTTGTAAGCAGCTACTTACGAATTATTACTACTATTACAAACCATATTAAAAACCCATATATTTGTATGATTTTAGTGGCTCATACATTTTTAGACTTCATAGAGTAATGGATACAGCTTTTGACATTTCATACATTTTTACGTGTCTTTTAATCCTTCGTTGTACAGGACGCAGGATTAGAATCGTCAAAAGAATTTGAAAAAAAAAACGTATTTTGGTCTTTTTTCCATCTAAACGTTTTAGTAAATGTGTTTTTCTCCAGTGTGATGGTACAGATAGATACACATTTTAAGAAGTTATACATATCGTGTCTCGTGATAAGATGCACGCAGTAGTATTATGTTTTTGTTGCCTTTTTTAATTTTTAATTATTCTGTCTTTTGGATTCTAAACTATGGGGAAACTATGTGGATGTTTCAAAATTACTTTCGCGTTTTTCCTGAAATCGATAAAGGCGGAATATTCGGCTTTTTACATGAACTTTTGGTGGCGGACAAATGTTTTATAAATTGTTACCAGTTTTTCAAGAACTTTTACATTATTCCATTTACGCACCATTACGTTTTTCTTCCTGGTTATTAAACGTAGTTTTATAATACAGTTGAAGGTGGTTCTTTGCTCCAGTTGAAAGTGATTCACGTTATTTAAGACTTCCCATCAGTAACACTATGAAACTAATATAAATTACTTTAAATTTTTGCATATTTATGCACATTAAAATGTTAATTGGTTTTTATAAAATTGCTTTCTTTTATGCTTTCGTGTTATTGTTTTTCTATAGGTCTTACTAAATATATATTAATTGCTAGTCATTAAAAATGCTGCATCAGGAATGAAGCGCACAGCATACCTGAAACATGCATGAAAGGTCGAATGGGATATGCAGATGTTTAGTGTTTCTCGATATGCACACATTACAGGCTATAATAATGATATCTGGAAAGAGAATAAAAGTTTAGATTAGCATGTCAATTTTGTTATTCGGAAATCGCGTTTTATTGATTGTTTTTATTGTTGGAATTGTTTAAGAAGAACGAACTCATACGAACACGTGTTACAATTCGATCACATGAGAATTCCATCCTACTAAGCTGAAAAATTACCGTAGCGCCCGATTGCTGCTCGCTCTGAATATGAAATCAACTTATGACAAGAACTCAGGACAACTCTCCACAAGAACTCAACTGGGTTAGAACTCAACTTATTAGAACCGTTCAATACAGTTCGATAGACCCAGAAAGGCCACACAAAACTACGTGTTCTTAGTCATCAATTTACGATATGGTAAATGTTATTTACTTGGTTTTACAAATCGTACAGCCGCATCATGGTCCTAGGTCAGGAAACTACGCATGTTTGCTGCATAGCACAAAATATCCGCAAATATTGGGGGATGCCATGTTGTCACGGATTGTCGAGAAGGCGCTTATTGCCCTAGTGCCCTAGTGCTCTTGCCCTAGTGCTCTTTGGCGTTTTGCCACAAGTCACAGTGCCTACAATGAAGTAATCAGCGACTCTCATGGTTGCTCCATTGGCATGGCATTATCTTCTTTGATGAATCTCGCTTTTACTTACAGCATCCTAATGATCCTATCCGTGTCTGGAGACACTGATGGGAACGAACGTTAATAGCTCGTTTTCTTCATTGGTATACTGTTTCGGCAACTGGAGTTATGTTTTGGAGGAACAGCGCGTGCACATCCCGTTTGTCTCTTGTACAAATATCCTGTGCTTTTTAGCTACCGTTAGATTGTTGGTATCTGAATGACCGTAAGTGTGCTCTAACTTCGATGTCACTTTAGGCCCATCTTCCAATATAACATTGCGAGACTTAATGCTGTCCACGTTCTTTGACATTTCCTCAACACAAAGATATTTGACTCCTATCTTGATCAGTTCGTTTGCTTGGTCAACGGTTGGCATATTTCACAAGTGCACATCTGTGTAGCCACCGAGGGAGTGGCTTCTAGGATGAACCAGTGAGCATCCAGTAATATTTCTGTCCTGTCACATGACCTTTCGCGTGCTTTAAGCAAGATGGTTGAAAATATTCTGCCACGCAATTTTCTGTACAAAATAGTTAAATCACCGTCGATTGCTTCTGAAACGTTTCATTGCGAAGTTAAATCAATTATAGGAAATTATAAAGATTTCACTACCTGGTTGAAATAAATACAAACACATGTTGGATACTTCGCAAAAATATCGATGTGAAATATTACTTAATAAGTGGTAAATAAGATGAAGAAAGAAATATGTAATAAACATCTGAGCCCAAATGCAATCTTTACATAAAACTATGCGTATGAGAAAAATATTTACCCCAATTATATATGCAAATAGAAGTCAGCACTTTTTATTACAGTCTATATGAAAAAGATGTTCTATAACCAATGCAGAATTTTATTCAAAGTGAACTTCACTAATTTGCATTCGTATACATTTAGTGTGTTAAATTTCGCATTTAATAACTGCTCACTCTTAAATGTACTGTCTACACAAGAAATACTCATCACACAGAGTGAATTTATCGTATTCACAACGCGTATATTCAATTTATTAACATATAATTTTTAATGTTAACAATGGATATAATCAGATCATATATATTGTGAATCTTACACTTTAAAATCAAAAGAATGCTAAGCACTGAAATAAGAAAAAACTAGATTCATTGTAACACTTTCAGTCATTCGCTGCTGAATTAAAAAAAATATACACTGAATTCTCTTAATCCACATAATATGCAGTGAACAACAGTCCTAATATTAATGCGTGAAAAAAATTGCGAAAGTAAAATGTCAGCAATTAATCAAACTCAGAAAACAAAAGCACTACGAGATTTTCTACTATTACGCCATATATTTATAACTGCGAAACAAATGCAAATTAAAACGTAAACAACATACACTCACATGCACGAAGATTTAGCGTCACAAGAGCAATAGCAGCTCATTGGTTCACTTTCAAAACCCCTCCCTCAGTGGCTACGCTGATGTGCACTTGTAAAATATGCCTGTGGTTGCAGAGAGAGTGGCATCCCAACACCCACCAGCCATTAACTGCATTCTTTTCACATTCAAAAGATGCAAAGCTGCGTACACATGTAATACGCGTAACTACAATTCTCAATGTTCAGCTGTACAGCAGCTGCCTTTGTTGCGAGAGACTTACACTCAGGATACTGATTTATGCATACTTTGGGCCTCGATATTATTTAAAATTTCAATCATTTTATTGCTTTCATTCCTAAAGTAGCAATTTTAATGTCTACAAGTGTATATGTGTAACGTATCTTTGAAACTTTTACGTTTCTACTTTTGTCCTACAATGAAGTTTATAGAAGAAGACTTGTTTTCAGATTCGTTAGTTTAATTTATTTCCCATTATTGATATTATTAAATACTAGTATTTCAATATTTTCATTTTGGAGGCTGAAAAGCCTTTAGCAGCAAAAAGAAGGAAAAAAATATACCAATAGCATTTTCATTCTTTGAATATAAGACGTTTGCTCCAAATGTTTCCAAGATGGTATCCCGTCTGAAAATATTTTTTAGCTTTTAACATGACGTTTCTACTGTAATAGAATTTCTAGTTTATGGGCTAAAAGTACAAGTTTTAGAATGAAAGTCTTATAGGTGAATAATACAGAAAAAATATATTTTGCCTAATGAAGTTTTACTGTATTTAAATTTCCCTGTACTTATCCTATTACATCCATATAAATTCTTAATACTTTTGTGGGTTATTTGTTGGAATGATTTTAACTTCCTCGTTGCATTTTTCTTAATTTCTGCATTACTCTTGAAATTTTAATTTAGAAAGCATAACTTAGTCTTCAGGTTCCACTCTAGTGTGTGAAGGAAGTGATTAAGAACACTTTGTTGCAAAAAATGCCTTGTTGATAAAGCTATACTTTGCAAAGATGACTTAAGCCATGAAAATAAAACGTAAGAAAAGGTTAAATATACTCTGTTGTTTAAAAGTCTTTTAATAACGAATCTGAAATTATAAACGTTTGGACTAAATATTTTATATGAATTAAAATTTACATCAGTAACCTATACTACGATAAAGAAATAAGGCGATGATATCCGCAACAGGTTTTTAAATCTCTTTTTTCGTAAATTTCCGTTTCTGTACATGTGGTGCTCAGTACATACCGTATATGACGAGCTTTTCTCATGAAGTCTTTGCGTGTGTCTTTAACTAGCAGTATCAGGGGTAACATATGTTTAAGGAATTACCGTATATCACTGATTATAAAAATATGCATCGTTTCTGGGCAACAACAGAAAATTATAATGTTTTGTTGTTTTTAAACAATACCATATTTAAAATTTTCTCCATTACTAAGTTCATACAGAAGAGCTATATTTAAAATATAGGGATTTTAAGAATGTGACATAACCTGAAGTTCATTAGTAATTTTACATTCAGCATTTTTGTCTTTTTCAACTCACAATATCGCTGTATAGTTTAGAAATGCTTTCGATGCTGTGCTGTGGGTACTTCAACCAATCTAAATAAAGTAAGGATTATAAGACCTTCCCCAACATAATTACAAAACTTCATGGACCAAATATTGATCTATACGTTCTTTTCAAGATGCTTTAAGAAAGACAAATGTTCTTTTTGTAAAATAGTCCAAATACAGTTTAGCTGCTTCGCTGTAAGCGGGAAGGTCAATACTAAAACGTATTTATTTCTAAAATACTGCATTAAAGAAAGACGTGTCATAAAATTATTAAAGTAAAGACGCTGAAAGTTATCTAGTTTTTGAAGGTGATGTTGTATGTGGAAAAGGTCACTGTAATGAATTCAGGACGAAAGCAGATATCTTGATGCAAAATGCTGGAAAAAGAAAAAACAAATGCTCGCATAAAAGCCATTGAGACGCAATAAATTAGAGGTTAAATCTATGAAATTTATGCTATTGGTCTTGAAGGCGCATATTTTCTTTTAATCGAGGGAAACGTGCTGAGAATTCTATAGAAGATCGTTCTCTCTTTATGGAAACGATTTTCTGTTTGAATTTTGTCATTAGCTTTTTGAGATAAAGATGTGGCATTTTTTATATAATCGTCTACTGCTGTTTTGATTTTATCGGAATGCAGAATAAGACGTTAGCCTTGGAAATGGCTCCTAAAATTAATAGATATCTTGAAGATTACGTAAATGCTGTTTCCGAAAAAAAAGTATCGAATCAAAAAATTTTAAAGCGATGTTGCAGAAAGAAAACCGACTCTAGAAAATTATATGAAAAACACTGAGCTGATGATATATGAAAACTTGTGGAACTGAGAGCAAATGCTCGCTCTGGTCTTATATAGGTTTCACCCGGCCGCCAAAAAATCTCTAGTATATTCCATTTCTCGAAATTACAGAAAGCATATACGGTTAATGTTACTTCTGAATGCCGGATACGGTTACCATTACATATCTACACTAATTATATTTACTAAATCACAATACCAAATGCAGTTATCCATGGACCGAACCACATTGTCGCCAAATGGTGGCCAAGTCTGGCGACTTTTGGCTATTTCTCGCCAAACTTGGGGACAAAAGTTATTTCCCAAATCCGTCACCAGCTTGGCGGTATATCGCAAATTTAGCGATATAGACACTCACTCAATGTTAAATAGACTTGCCCCTGTATTTACGAGAAAAGCTTCGCTTCTTTGGATTTTCAAGTTAGATTATACAAAAAAAAAAAAAAAAAAAAAAAAAAAAAAAAACCTAAATTTTATGTATACTTTTACTAAAATTATTAACATATATACGAAATTCGTAATAATATTTATACAGCTAACATAAAATTACGTAAATAATTATTTAATTAATGTAAAAATTATTATATTTTACGAATAATAATACAATAACAAAATTGCTACAAGTTCCATATAAAAGTTTTAATTTTAACAACATTTTGTTAATTAGAGTAACAATGAAAGATTTGCTTCTAGTAGAAAAAAATAGTAAATAGTTCTGATATCTTCAAGCTCACAACATAATGGCCTACACAAAATTCAGGGCTTCGCCTCAGATGGTCAAGTTACCTACGGCTAATTACAAAGCTGAAAAATCACAAATTGGAAATACGATCCAATTAGACAGACGATAGGTTTAAGTCTTTCTTGTTTTCAGAATTCTCAACAAAATATTAAGCCCTTTGAACAAGAAATGAAATTCTAGTAAGCTTAGTTAATTATTCTAGCAGATTTAGAAAATGAGGTAAAACAATGCGTCGCTCTGTAGATTATAATAACAAATCACTTCTATCAAATTGAAAGGAATATTCTACCATTTACAAAACAAGCAATCGAAATTTCTAATCCGAAATTAATGATGCATCCTAAATTAAGTTTGTTAAAGTAATAACAAAAACTTTAACAATTTGCTGCATGTGTTATTTAATACACGAAACTCTGATTCAGTAGCCACCACTGATTTTCGAACAAATGATTTTTATACTCAGTTTCCTTAGTTGTCGCCAAATAAGTTTCTAGCAACACTGTCTCCCGACACAGTGAATGACAACGATTTCTGGCGCAGCTGCTCGAAGACATGTATCTTCTGCCCCAGTTATATGTTTCCCTGTACAGGCAGATTGATGCAAGAGCTGCAGACATCCAGAGATACTTTCTCGAATATTTGTCTCCTTAAGATTGGGTAAAGACTTCATTGCTTTGTATTGAGTTATAAATTTAAGTTATTAATACCTTTCTCTTCTTTAACATTTAAAGGGTTTGAAGGCTCCAAATAAACAGTTTAATTTAGATTCTTAAGAAAGTTAAAATTTCTGCTAATTCAATAACGTGAGATTATAGTTCAATTATAATAACAATGATTTTGGTATGTTGTTTTTAGCTTATTTATTTTTAAATTTTATTTTTCCTATAAAAATGGATGATTCATTGAGACTATAATTACACAATATTTAAGAGCAACACGTACTCTTCTCCTGGGAAAACCACTGCGCCTCTTCGCTGATCTGTCTAGATTAATTCTTGCTACCTATTGCAAATAATTAAATCTGATAATTAAAATACAATATATTCACAAAATTTCTGAATTATATATCTAAACGAATTATTTTAAAAATTCGGTAAAAGGTATCAATGCATATACTTACGTTTTTGTAAAGATCAGAGACATAAATAACCGACCTAGGGTCTTTTGGGTTTCCAATATATAATTTCATGGCATAGGCCTACGAAATATAACATATATTAATATCTTCTTCTCAAAGTTGTTTTGGTTTCTGAATTAATTCCGGGAGCTAGTCAAAACACATAGATTAAAGTCATGCTTTCAACATGTCAAACAACTTCAGGTAGCTTGCGACAGAAGAAATATATATTCAAATCTATTATTTAGACGAATATAAGGAAAAAATAAAGTGAAGGTCGTAGCATTGATTCAGCAATGCAGCTATATCGAGTTTGAAGAAATTATCTTACACGTTAGTTAAAAAAAGAAAATTTAGAAACAATATTCAAACCTATAAAAAAAGGTAAACTAATTTTGACATATTAATTTAAAACGATCACAACAGAAAATGCCCTAAGATCGTAACAGAAGAAGAAATTTTTAACCGGAAACGTCCTAAGACGAGTAACAGAAACAAAAATTTGTAATACAAAAAGTCCTAAGACCCGTAATCGCTGTACACTGATGAGTGTTTAAAGTCCTAATGTACCAATTGTGCCCCGATAATATTTTCTTTTCAAACGCCCATTAATGATGCATTATCTTTTTCCAAATCGCTACTTTAAATATATTCTAGTACTGTAAGATATTTCTTCAGTTAAAATCAGTGAAATCTTGAATTTTCTGTCAAAAGTAGCTTGAAAATTATTTAGAAATTTTAGAGAAATTAAGGAAAAATCTTCCTGTTTTGTATGCAGCTATTTAAGTTTGAGTTTCTAACTATTTTCTACGAAACAGTGTCATTGGATACTATGTCTGAGTAGAGAGACATCTTTAGCTCAAAACTGGACATTATTTAATTAACTTAAGCTAAGGAAGAACAGAATTGTAGAGGACAATATAATGATGATGTTAAAATTCAGTTGCGAGTACATGTAGGCAAGGTACCTTATCGTGCTCACCGAACTTTTGTTTTGTAAATTACAGTGGCGCATTTAGACTGTTTTCGCAATCAATCTCAAACAGAGGATATTGGTTTGGATATAATTGTTAATTTATATCACAAGTAATATAACTGGTAAACAAACGGTTCGTTTATAATGTTGTTCTTAGTATTCATAAGTCTTATTTTACAGATTGGTTTGGTTTATTTTATTGAAACCAAGGCAAAACACACTACAGCTATCTTCCTGATGGAAGGGATGTCCTCCATGGGTAACATTATAAAGGAAACTGGCTCGTATACACATTACACATGTGGTAAAGCATAACGCCCATGCAGCTAAGCCGGTTCGCCGCATATTCAAAACGCCTACAGACCATTTCTTCAACGGTCTGCTCTCATTGGATGAAACATCTGCTTGTCGGTCATATTTGGAATGGTGAGTTATTGCGCTGTAGGCGTGGTAATTAACGTCAAACAAACCTTGTAGGCTTTCAGTGCAGCGAGGAGAAACAGCTTTTACTTCATTCGATAATTTTTTATTTTATGAATGAAAGCTAAGGGGAATAGTGTGAAATATATTTTAAATAACCTACTGATCTTATTAATAATTTATTGGTATTTGAACTTAAACTGTTAAAAGTACGATAATTATTTTGCAAGAAAAAGTGTTTACAATCAATATTTACAATCAATACAATCTCTTAATTCAATAAACATTTAAGGGCGTCGGATACCTATTCTTTTAACCTAAATTATGAGTAAGTATAACAAAAAATTATAGTTTATTCCATTATGCGCTGTTTCTATTGAAACGCTTTTCAGGATCTTGGATCATAATCTTGCTACTGGTACCTACTACAAAGAGTACAAACCAGTAGATAAAAATAAGAAAAATTAGCATTAACAAAAGAAGAGAAAAATGAAGGTGTTAAATTTTAACACCGCACCCGAAGGCGAAAAAACAAATAATGACAAAGTCATTCAATAAAGTGAGGATAAAAACAAGTCCGTCCAGGTCAGAGTTCGTGAAAGTTTACGAGCAGGCATAGAACCAGCGATCTAGAAGTCCTAGAAGTGTTTCCATCCTCTTTACTGTTGAGCTGCGGTTTCGCTGCTTGCTTTCGGACACTTTTCGGTTCACGAGGCTGATATACAAATAGTATGGGCGATGAAGCAAAAGTCGCCAAGTACATGATTCTGTAACCCTACGTTTCCTCTTTTAACCAATAAGAGCAAACAGTAGAAGAAACGGTCTGTAGTCTTTGTGAATATGCCAGTTCGCCTAAAGTCGGATCCTGGTTTGAGCTACCGGTGTTCAGCGACTTTACCGCTCTACCGCTGGTAAGCCCTTATTTAACGATGAAGACGAAAATCAGAAACATTTAGGAAATTCACATTGACCGTTAAAGATACGGGCCAGAGACTATGTAAATAGAAGTTTGTATTAAACTACAACAACAATAGGAGAATTAGACAAAATAAACAAACCTTTTTTTTCGCTTGTTTTTTTGCTTTTGCATCTAACCACTCCTTTTCTTCTATCATATTTAAAAACTCATTATGAACATATTTAAAAATCTTGAGTACCTAACGGGAAATGAAAGAAATTTTATGAAAGCACAATAATAATTACATCAACACTAATAATTATGGAATAATTTAAATGGTTACTGAACCCAAAACAATCGTTTGAAATTTAAAAACGAAAAATATAAAGAGAAATTAAAAGCTTTCAAAATGTTTACAAATTAAAAGTGTTGGCTTTCATTTACACTAAGTTATCTTGCTCAGACGAATTATTGCCTGCGCAATTTGCTTAAGTGTACATGTACTGAGCCGCCCGACAGGGATAGCGGTAGCGGCGCTGACTGCCGTACCGAAGGTCCTGGATTCGAATCTTGGAGAAGACATAGACGTATATAAATGCATTCTGTCTCACTATGGGCGGGCTCTAAATATGCGGCAAGCCAGAAGTCCTCACGATAGGTTGGTGATAGAGAAAGAGGAGTGGGAAAGCTTCGGACCCGCCCTTCCCCGAGGTGCTCTCCGTAAAATTTGGGGGCGGAACTGAGCAAAGTCGTACTGTCACCTATGGGGTTCTCAAGGCTCTTGCCAAAGGCAGGCGCAATCTTGACCCTTTCCAAGATGAAATTCGTAGGCTTGCTCTGATTTTAGAGACCTTATCTGATGTTACTGTCGATCAGCTGAGAGAAGTCATAACAATATATATTCTGAAATTCAGTTAGCTAGAAAAAAATATTAATTTAAGCTTGATTTTGCTACTTATAGAGTACAACTTAAAATTAGGAAATAATATGCATTTGCTATTTGAAGTGTTTCTTAGTACTAAGTATGCAAATACTCAAGCAAAATTAAGCCTGCAAAAGCTTCTTAGATATCAATCTCTTAGCTCTAACATAAAACTTGAAACAGATAAACAAATCACACGCCATATCTAATATGCACAGCAGTTATCATTCCTCGACTTCAGAGTTACTGTATAAAGATAGAAATTGCCAGATAAAAGGCCACTGGACAAAATTCCACAGGGCAAAGCCTTCCCCCCCCCAAAAAAAAAAAAAAATCCCGTTATAACTGCCTATTCGACAAAAACCCACACAGATGAAACCGCTAATGAATAAAACCCCGGATTAATAGAAGCCGAATCTCAAAAGACCTATACGGATATATATGTCATGCTACCCAGAAAATAATTTCCCCAATATTTTCATTTTAAGTGAAGAAAATGTATTAAACAATAACAGCAAAAATAAATTATTTAGATTAAATTAAATGCAAATAATTAAATAATAAATGAAATTATAAATTATGGCTAGTCTGTCATGGACACTATATCCATTATAGGCAGAAGATTGAACAACGTGCTTCCTAATGTAGATAAGTACTTAATTAGCAGCTCTCCGCAATTTACACAATAACTAATTGGGCATGGTCTAATTATTTCTTACTTGCATAGTTTTGGCCACTGAAATAATACCCTACGCATTTGCGGTAGTATCCATAATACAGATCACTATCTGTTCGACTGCATATATACCATACTATCATTTGAAAAGACCCTACTTGACATACTAACAAGCTTCGTTCAGGAACACTAGCAAAAATGAATTTGCATTCATCCGCAGAAGACGCACATACTAACGTTGCTAAGAATATAGCTAACAGCCTGGAATAATTCGCTGCTACTTCCCTACCTACTGTACATTTGAATTTTATTATTCACGGAGGAGGCATGGATGTCATTTTTTCCTTCTTCGTATGAACCTTTGGTTTTATATCCCTGTATTATTTATTGGACTTGCCGCCCAGACGGACTAGTGTTAGTGACTCTCATACCTAAAAGACCGGTTTCGAAACCCGGAGCAGGTATGGATGTTTGTACATGTAAATAGTGCTTTGGAGGCATAGGGACACTAAATATAGGGGGCGGCAACGTTCATAGTAGGATATTAAAAATACACCATAAGGCAGTAGCTGTAAGTTTATTTATTACTACTTATGTCAATTAATAGTTAAAGGTATGCCATTTACTAATATGTAAGTAAGTCATTGTCCATTGCGTGGATTGCTTTTTGAATATGATGCCTGTCAAATGATGCCCTCTTTGCATAACACATTCATCTAGGCGGCGTTGGAAGCTTGCCATAACTTGGCGTAACTTATTCCGTGGGACATTGCCGACGGAAGTTCTGATGCGATCCTTTCAACTCAGGAATGATTGCACAACGTGTTCGGAAAACTGCTTGCTTCAGGTGGCCCAAAAGGAAAAAGGTCTAGGACATGAAAGATTGGGTGAGCGAGGCAGCTAGGAAATGTCACCAAAATGGGAAATTATTCTACCTGGAAATGTCTGTCGCAATGGTCCGTCCATCTGGAACTTTTCCATGACGTCCCAAGTTGAAATGTTGCCGAAATAGACGCTGGGTAGCAATACCAGAGTAGTTATTCTTGAAATAACTTTGAACAGCAAAGGCACGATGCTGTGCACCCCACCGATCCATATCACTGTCACACTCGAAATGGCAGCTCATTAGCACGAGCACGAGCTGCCGCGCATTCATGCAGTATGTTATTGTGTTACGCAAGTCAAATTACGCTATGAACGCTGCTGCATCCTATATATGGCTAACCGAACGTCCTTTCGGATGGTTTCATGGTAGAAGAGCAATTACTCAACAATGTATATATGCTTGTTGCTTTGTTGTGTGATTTATTTCTCTAAATATACTTCTCATGCTAATGTTATACTAATATATTTTTTTTTCCATAAATATATTAAGTTATAAGCAACTGCATGCCTTTCTTTTAACTGTATTCGTATGGAAATGATTACGTAAATATTATCATGTCCACATTTCATCACTGTGTATTCTTCTACAATATAGGTCTTTGTAAAAGTTTATACAATTTGTGTCTTTATACTATCATACCTGTGCACATGTATAAACATCCTGTTTTTTCCACGCATACAAATAATGTAATGCATGGAACTTATTTCTCTGAACATTTTGCCTATCCTCTTTCCCTGCTACACTTTTAAAATATAATTATCGAAACCTTTCCTTGTTTAGATGCACATACACACTTAGACAAAAAAAAAAAAAAATCGCGCATCATGACGCACCGAGAAGATATAAAGCAAATTGGACACAAATTGATATGCATACAGGTTTCGACGGAAAATGCAAACTTTTACCTTTTGGCTGCCAATGAATGAACGGTTATCGCTAGAGCGCATGTGATCTGCGCAACTGGCTAGATATTTAAGGGGAGAAATTAGGATTCCAGGTCATAAATTCTTTACGAATTTCATTCCGTGTACTCGTGTAGACAGTAACTATGCCTCGCATACAATTACGCGCGAATGATATGCGCGGATGTCAGAATTTGAGAGAGGTCGTGTAGTTGGACTCAAAGAAGCCGGTTGGTTTTATCGGCAAACAGCTCGACATTTGAGCAGGAGCCATGCCACTATTAGACGATGTTGGCAGAAATGGGTGAACCATGGCCGCACACAGCCTCAAGAAGGAAGCGGTAGGCCTAGAGAAACGACAGAAACGTGAAGACCGAGCAATCGTCAGAGGGGCACTCACAGCCCCAGATGCATCGTTATCATCGATTGTACGTGCAATTCAGTGACCGCAGGACCATTCGTAGACGGCTCACAGAAAGGGGGCTGAGGTCACAGCGCCCCTTGCGCCGACTACCATTGACCTCTGTACAACGTAAAGCCCGCTTGCAGTGGTGTCGGGCTCATTCGCACTGGAATGTCACTGACTGGAGTAGAATAGTCTTCAGTGATGAGCCCTGAATTGAGCCACGATGACCGATGAAGGCAAATCTGGAGACGCGCCGGACAACGATGAACCTGACCGCCTTTCGGCAGACAGGCCGACAACAGGAGTGATGGTCTGGGGTGCCATTTCATTTCATAGTAGGACCCCTTTGGTTGTCATCCGTCGCAACTTTACAACACAGCGGTAAGTCGACGAAGTTCTAAGGCCCGTTGTGTTGCCCTTCACGTCACGCCACCCTGGGCTTACATTTCAACAAGATAATGCCCTCCCTCACACTGCGACATGTTTCTACTGCTTGCCTCAGTGATTGCCGAACATTACCTTGGCCAGCGAGGTCGGCGGATCTCTCTCCTATTGAGCACGTTTATGGGCAGAGCTCTCCAACCAGCTCGGGATATTGACGATCTAAACCGCCAGTTGAATTTGGCACGATATCCCTCAAGAGGACATCCGCAACCTCTATCAATCGATGCCAAGCCGAATAACTGCTTGCATAAGGTCCAGAGGTCCATTACTGTGAAAACTGTAATAATTTGTTTTTCTGCACATGTACATCACTTCTACCGGTTTTGCTCCCATTCGTATAACTACTTCTTGGTGCGTCGTTTTTTTTTTTTATTTATTTATTTTTTTATTTTTATTTATTTTATTTTTATTTTTTATTTTTTTTTTTTTTTTTTTATTTATTTATTTATTTATTTATTTTTTTTTGTTTTTTTGTCTAAGAGTGTATTTGGTTTACGTCCCAAGGACAGACCTGGCGGATATGGCACGAAGCGTAAAGTTACCAAACAGTTCCGATAATCGGGTGTTCGGACGAAACTCTAACTAAACTCAGTGAATATCTGCCCCCGTTATCGGTAATAAAAGAGGAAAACTCATTGTTTCAATGCAAATAAGCCTTCTTCTATTCCCAGAGTTTTCTAGCTTTTGCTGATTTTAACTTTAGAGCAAGATGTGAAAGGATTAGCATTCACCTGACATAAACAGCTTTTCGAGCCGTCCGAAATTGTATTGTGGTTCATATGAATTTACATTTGACAGAATTCAACTCTATTAAGTCTCATCAAAACATAAAGCAAACAGCGGTAAGTGTAAGAATGCATGAACTTCCAAACCATGTTCGGGTTGGCAATCCTTTTCTCGGTGTGATCACAACTTTCATCTGATTTTCGTTGTTCGGTAAAAAACCCTAACTTCATCCGGTGATTATTCGAACAATGTCTAAATAATTATATTATTTTTCGGAAATCTGACAGCAGTTTCTTCATTATTTGGTAACTACAAAATTGTAAGTTTGTAAAACGTCACCATTGATTAATAAAAACGAAAATCGAGAAATAATTCATTTTATGAATAAAAGAGATTAGATATGATCAACATAAATGAAAAATATAGAAATAGTTCAGTTTATATATAGGAAAAATCATATATGGAAAGTTGATGTAGAGAAATGGAAAATCGAGAGGCACATAATCGAGAAACATAGTTCGTGATATAGTATAGGGAATAGCCTTCTCACGGTATGAAGTTAAAATTTTTACTTTGCTTCGGATGTTTGGACTCACGTTAATGGAAAATTGTCCATTATTAGTTGAAAACAAAGTAAATAACGAAGACATAAGAAAAGCTTCAAATGATTTTGATGTATTCTTTGGAGTAGGCACTTTTGCACTCACGTCATCTTTGGTTTCCTTTTTGAAGTAATGTTCCATGAAATAAGAACTCATGTTAAATTCCTCTTCGTACTTAAGGGAATGGAGACATCGTTTCCAAAGAGGATATATATAACTCCTTCGTGACCTATGTTTCGGAATCTTCCAGTTCTCTGACAATTCTTGAACTATCTTCCACATCATGTAATTGGCTACCACCCTGAAAATAAAGGTAATAGTTACTGAATTAATGAATAGACTATACCCTTATTAGGTGGGGTGACGAAATGTACAGGCACGCTAGAGTAGCTTCCCCGCAAAGCAGTTTTAGGGTTGCCATAAAACGGCAAGGGAAGGCAAAGTTGCCACATTCGGCGACAAATTGCATCATTCGAAGACAAAATCGGCGATAAGCCATAGACGGAGAACCTTCCGTCCAGGATGAAACATCTCACGGGATGAAGGAGAATAACGAAAACATGAAGAAATAAAAGACGGTTTAGCCCAGAATGTTCTCGAACGCAAGCCAAAAGCTATGTAAACCCTGCTGGTACGCGGAGAGTTAGTGTCGAGGAGTTAGTAAGTCCGTGCGGAGTCAATCGAGTTGACAATCGGTGAGTGAGTGCTGAGTTGGTCGTCGAGGGCACCGAAAGAGTCTCTTAATGTATCGCGAGTTAGTGCATCGTCGAGTTTATTCTTAGAGTGTGTTGAGCTCCGGGAACGACTGGACCGAGAAGTCGGGAGCTGTACTCTAGTTGGAATATAAATATGATGTGGTATGTGATAATGGAATGTGTGATCTATAAAGGAATATAAAATTAAAGTAACTTACTCCCAAAGGATGACAATTCAAATAATGTAAATTAAGTAATATTTATTATATCTTGATATCATTAAATTTTGAATCAATACCAGCATAAATTAAGTAAATATCGCCAGACAGAAGATTAGCAACCGTGATCGTACAACGGCCGAAAGAAACAGTCGTACCATTTTGAATCCTAACTTTTCGTACGGGAAATGCTTAATATTTCAATCAAACTAGATCTCAGTTCATCATCGTTCAGCAAAGTTTCATGATAAAAAAAGTCAAATTTTATAACGGAGGAAATTGAGTTGACTGGTTATTCCAATATATTTTTGAAAAAACACAAGGCAAATATTCATATCATCAGTGAATGGAACACGTGCACATGAAGTCCTTTCGAGGATTTTTAAATTGTAGAACATCGTTAATTTACGGCAGAAGTCAGCATCTAGATAATTTTAGTTGAATCTTCAGTACCAATTTCTTTACTAGGAGGAATACTTTGCTCTATATACAATATGGAGATGGCAGTCAAAAAAAAAAAAAAAAAAAAAAAAAAAAAAAAAAAAAAAAAGAAAAGAAAAAAGAACGAAAAGAGCAAAATGGCACACACGCGTCATCCGGAGTGAGGACAGCCAGAAGACCGTCCTACACCTTCGGAGCCCAGCAGCAGAAGGAAGAGAAACCGGTTGTAGCCGTCAATTTCGCTCTGTCATTGAGCGGTCGCAGTGAACAGACTTGATGTTGAATAAATGTGGAGGCTTGCCTGCACACTAGCCTATCGTCGAGTGCATCGCGAGTTGTAACGTGATAAGTCTCGAGATTACGTAGAGTTCCGAGAATAACCGAGAAGAGTCGGGAGTTGTACTCTGGTGCTTTACAATGAAGCTGTCTCCACCGTTATAGCCTAATCTCTTGAAGGCTGGGCTGCTGATTGTTTCAGCGAGTATATAGTAGTTCTTCAACGACTATAAACGTGATGTTTTTTCGCTGTCTTGACTTATACTGGCCAATAAAGTATGTTTCGATACTTCATCAAGTGTCGTCGTTATCCACTCCAAATCCGCACGAACCCCGTACGTACGTAACGTAATAAAGGGTAAAAAAACGTAACAATAGGTTTTCTGAACGGTGTGTTCATGCAGACCAGAAATAAAACATTGTTGTCAAAGAAATGAAACCTTTCACCATTTTGAAAGGGAATAAACACAAATTTCAGAAAATGTATGTAGCCGCGAATGATATTATTAAGGTTCAATGAAATATCGCACTTCGATGCGTTTCTTGGTTAAAAATGTGATACGAACTTAATACTGCTACTTTAGCCATTGCGTCCATGCTAATCTAAAAATTCGCTTTTGTCTACAGAAATAAAGATTTCTTTATGTAAAATTCTGTTGTACCTAAACAACTGGTGGAATAACATTTCATACTTGCCTTGTAACCTCAAAAGACCTAAAACCGTAAATGTAAACAAAAAATAGAACGAACTCTTGTGTTAATAAATACAGTTTCAAATAATAATATGTAAACATATAATGCAGTACAAAAGAATTTGTAAGATCTGTTTAAACATTTCACGAAAAATGAAGTTACTGCATACTCTTTTACTAAATACGTAGTAAACGTACACTTCGTACCTTGGTATTTTGTATTCTATTACACTGAGTATATAGTTATTACGATTATGAATTATTTTATTGATCATATTTTATTTCGTATGAAGTTTCAGAAGAAATCATTAAGAATGCACAATGCATACAATAATACAGAGGCTGTTCGCAGATCTTTTCAGACGATTTTCATTTTATTTAAAGAACTTTTTTAAGAAACATTTTTGGGTTTTTAATGTTCTATTTGATAACTCTTATTTTTCACTACCTTTCTACAGTGTAATTTATAAGATAACAAAGCCTTCTATAGTATCGGGAGAGTACATTAAACCATTCCTCTTGAATAAGTTTACTAAGTCTAAGAAGGATTTAGGTCGACATTTGGATGATCCCTTTTTTAAAGACAAAAAGCACAAAAATCGTTAGGCGATACATCAGGAGATTTAATAGGGATATGAGCGAAGGGTTATTACCCGTTTTTGTTCCATTTTGTACAGGTGGATTTTCACTTGTATCTGCTTGCTTTGTCTTGATGCAATTCTACTGACTGTTGGTAAAGAGAAATATTTCATATTTGAAAACTGGGTATAAAACATGTTCCTGATAGTACGTGCAGTCAATCCTAACATTTTTCTCCACTTTTTACTTCTTTGTCCGAAGTAAAAAGGAAGTATTGTAATCGGGAAAATTTTCAGGCAACGAAATATCCATTTTGACCGCTATCGAATGCAATTTAACGATGTTTTTGCGTGACATATGTACGTAAGGACAGAATAAAAGACTCTATTCCTCCAAAAAAGTTATAAGACTGCTTTAAAATGAACTCGGAAGAGAATTTTTTGAGGTGTCTGTACGTACGTACGTACGTATGTATCTCACATAACTCAAAAACGAGTAGCCTGAGAACGTTGAAATTTTGCATATAGGACTGCTATAACATGTAGATATTCAACACGTATTTTAGTTGCAATCGGCCGCAGTAGAAGTATATAAATATATGTGTATATATATCCACTCTATTACCCAGCTCAGTGATCTCAGTTGCTTTACGCTTATATGTTTGTAAATTGTGCATTTTTTGCTTTAAAAATGATTGAATTATGTTGTCCTTATCTTCCGGTTAAGATTTTCTTTAGAAATCTGCAAGAAATATTTGTAGAATTATCAACAACTTAAAAGCTGTTTAATTGCTGTTAAGCCTAATTTTTATATGTTTGTTTACATTTGAAACAGCAGAATAGTAGATTTGTTGCCAATATAGACAGACTAAGCTTCGCAACAACAAAGACAACGCTTTCAATTATTATTGCGAATTAAATCATGCTTAATCATTTCTGGATTTTTTTCGAGGAAATAAGTGTTTAAGATTTACTTCGTAATTTTTAATATAGATATTTTGAGTTCTTATGTATTTTTGCTTTGTCGCGAAGTGAGATCTGAATTAACTGAATGAGAAATACTGAATCGACTGTGAAAAACTGTTTCTTTTTTGTTTTGTTTGCTTAATTTCTTTTATACATCGTTCTAGATTTATTATAGTACTTGAATAGAACATGTGGGAACGATTAGGTAATTCTTCAAATGATATAAATTTTGTACATTATGAGTTATAATATGAACGAAATATAACGCTGTTAAGTGAATCTAGCCCTAGAGTGTCGCTATGGTAAACAATTATAGTGAATTTTAAAGAGTGCATTTATTCTATTGTGGTTTATGCGCTATCGACGAAGTAGATTTAATTCAATCCAATAAGTTTAAATGAAATGCAAGAAAAGATGTGTATAATTGAATGTTCCGTACAAGGAAGTCATGTGGTGTACACATGAGAATTTTTTTATTTTAAATTTGCCGTTATATGAGAAACAAGCAACAATCATAAATTTCTTTGAAAAATTTTAGACTTTTTGAACTAAGTTTTAAGATTTTTTTCTCCTCTTTGATGAAATTATATGCATTATTTATTGCAGTCATTTAAATGCACCTAAGATTCATTTATTGTGATATCAATTTGCCATTTTTATCTTAACAATGTTTCTCATAAAGAAAATATGCCCATTATATTTTTTCTCCTTTTTTAATTTTCGATTAATTCCTCTGTTTATAGTTGATTGTTTTTGTCCTTTGATTTGGCGGAGGTTCTGTAGGGTTTTCCTTATTTTGCATAACAAATTTATTTTCAGTTGATACCTTTATCTGAACTTCTCAACTTCCCCTCACATTATCTTACCAGGATGTAAATTTAAAGTGAAGTGAGGTGCATGTTTAAACGGGTGAATCTCTGCGTTTATTTCAGAGCATGTTTTTGCTAGCCAGCGCACGTTACGTTGTTGTTTCGCTGTTACGCTAGTAAGCCTCTTGGCCATATCGGAAATGTCATCCTGCCTGTTAGGTTTTGTGAGTCCACATGTTAGGCGTAACTTACGGCTATCCAGAACTACTTATTTTAAATTTTGACTTGAATTATATTCTACGTTTTTAGTTTCACCCCAAGTTTGACGGTGCCTAACGAACGAAGGACAGTGCCTTTCTGTTAACTATTTTGAATTAATAAAGGGCTATTTTCACCCTTCTTCTGTGGTAGTTATTCACGCCTGTGCGAGAATTCGCCAGGTTAATTTGTAGGATCTAATTTATTTATGTGGAAAAACAGAGTACGACCCTACAGTTCTTTCTCTATTAAAGATCTTAACCGTTGCAATATTTGAAACAGTCCGTTTTTTCCTTGGATATTTTTTGGAGCAAATTTTCCATTTGAAGCCAAACTGTGGCATTTTGTTTCCTTTCTTGTTGACAATATTACCTATCGTAGCTTTAGATATCGGAAACCCATGGCTTTCACATTGTTTTTTAAAATTAAATAATACGATACTTTCTGCGTAAAGAGCACAAACATAGCCTTCTATCCATTGCATCTGTTCTCAATTTTGCATGGAAACAAAACTGTCAAATAGCAACGAAAATTTATATTTTCAAAAAATGAAAAAGAAGTAAAAAGTATTAGAGAAGTAAATTTTTGATTTATGAATATAATTGTTTTGTTCAATGAGGTTGGACAGAAGGTATCTTCCGCTCAGCTAATAAATCGCCTCTCTGGTATATGGTATATATAATACCATATACCTCTCTGGTATATATAATAACGGCATAGACATTATAGTTCATTTTAAGGTGAATGTTATTTACTTCATGTTCCAGTCTTAAATTTAACTTGTTTCAGTGATTGCCATATGGTTTCCAGATAATAAACATCTTCTAAACAATAAAAATTACGATATGGAGCACATTTTAAAACAACGATCAGAAAATTTTCCAGTCAAAAACCTTGTTATTGACATTATAAAGCGCTTTTATTTATTATTATTTGGAAATGTTATGTATGATACATTACACGTGCTTCCCTTCTTTTGTAAAACTTTCAGAATGAAACTAACCATGTATCTTCAGGTTAAAGATAGTCGTAGGCTTTATTTATCACAATTTACATAGTTTTTAACAGAACTGGATCAAATAACGTCTGTCTTATAGAATTAAATTTAAATTAAGATATTACTTTTAATATTGGTCCCAATAAAATTACAAAATTTGTGTCCTTGCCTTCGAGAATGAAAATGAAAAATTAATATAAATTTGATTATCATCTAGCTTTAGATTGCAGTGATTTTTTTAACTTTTAGCTTCACTCTCTCTTTTTAATTAAGTAGTTTACTTCTTTCATTATATATAAATAATATTTTAGCAACTAGTTACGAAAATGGAAACTCATATGCAATTAGTCTTACCTCGTGTTTGTCTTTGTGATCAGTTCGGCAAAATTGATAATGAAATTCTTATCCATAACAACTAACGTTTCATTTTTAATTTGGCCATTCAGCAGTCCGTTGAAATACTTAATCCAGTTAATCTGCAAGAAAGTAAAACTGAAAATTTTCATATATATACCAAAATGCACAGGTTGTTTACATATTTTTAGAATGATTTCGATAAAGAGCGATAGAGAAAGGAAATGTTTCGGAATACAAATTACTGAAGAACAGCTTATTATTTGAAATAAAAATTATCCTCTGATACTTTTAAATTCATTCTTGCTTCCAAATGACGCATGTAAACAAGCTATGAATTGAAGAATTGTTTTTTGCGCTTTTCAAAGCGAAATATTTCCATTCGATAATTCAGAAACGTTGTGAAATGCATGGTGTTAAAAATCTAAGTGCAAAATAAGCAGGATTACTGATTGGAAAGGGAAAAACCATCGATAAATACTTTCACATGGAAAGAAGAATCCAAAAAATCTTTAGTAACAAGAGAAAATCTTCTGAAGCAGAAATCAATTGCAAATTCTTTTAACTACATCTGTAGCAACAATAAATAAAACAATAAATCGAGATTTATAACTTAAAAAAGCTAAAAACATAATTTTCAGAAGCTTTTGCTTAAGCATGCGGCTCTGTGCAGAACAATTTGTATAACCCGTTTGGAAACTATACCATTCATGGTGGTATAGTTTCATGTTGGCCATTGCAACACCATGAAAGAAAGCAAATCCAAAAAAGGTATTTATTGTGCATAAACTCTATGGCATGAAGACAAAATTATCAACTTTTTAAGTAGTCTGGAAGTTTACAGAGGTGTAAAATTAGTAGAAACAGCTGCCAACTCTGGCAGCTAAAACGGCCCTTACCCGGTGCGTGCTGCAAACATGCTCATTTCCTAACTAATGGTCCGTGATGTGGTCGTACGGTTTTGCAGGGCTGACCTCCCAATATCTGCTGTTCTCTCTGGCGTTAGTCATGGGAGGACGTTGAGATCCTGCATGCCATTCAGTATGACTCTCAACAGTCCATTGATTCCATATTCGCATGACATTGGTTGGATGTCGACCAGTGCCACCGGCGATATCACGGAACGATAATCTATACCTTCGATAGGCAACGATCCTACCAGTATCGAATTTCGAAACTTGATGGTAAGCATTTCCCCTTCTTATGTGAGGCATAACACGATATTATGAGCAAACTTCAGCTTTGCAAAGCCCTTTCCGAATGCAAAATCCACTGCACAACTTTTCTTTTGTGCAGTGCTTCAGATGTCGTTTCTCCCTCCTGCGTCGTCTAAATTCACAGAAATAGATTTGCATATCCCAACTTCATCTTCCTTTCAAGTGATTTTGACGTTCATCAGATCATTCCTTCCTGGTGTTGCAATTTTAATGGTCAACAGTGTACTTAGTTCGAGATGAATGGAAATACGTTGTAGCCCTTGATGAGGCATGGATTTACCTAGGTAACTGCAATAAAGAAAGGTTTACTTAATACAGAAAACGAAGGAAAAAATGCCACAAAACTGGTTCCATCAAAACTAAGAACGTTTCAGTCAGGAGCTTTATTATTATCTCAGGATTCTTTTACCAATGGGAAATGAAAATAAGAATAGTGGGAAAAAATGTTATAAGCAACTCAACGTGCTATCAACAGAAAGTTTTACGTCCAATATTTGTGGAAGAAATTCCATTTTTTATATCAATAACTTTCAAAGTGTGAAATGTCATGGATATAAAGCAACAAGTCGTACTTCGAAATTAAAAACTGCATTCCTTGAAAACATGAAGTCATATAGGTATTCCATGGATCTTTTCCAACATAGTCTTGCGAAGTCGCCTGATATTTCTCGTGTGGTCTCTTGAAATGAGCTCTTTCTACGCTCAAACATATCGCGATTGACTAATTCTGGAAAGTAGTGGAAGTGACTGGAAATTAATAGCCCTGGAAATTTTTGCGGAAGACTTTCTATCATGGAAATCACGCGATGCAGAATTTTAGTTCAGAAAATCTCTGCCAGATTGAACATTTAAAAACTATCTCTTTACGCGTCTTTTTTTCTAACAGCTGGTCCATTTTGCCAATCAAGCACTCGTTGAGAATATAGACTGATAGGTCATTTAGTTGCCTCATTACTCAAAACGATGAAATCAGTTTGAATATTTTGAAAGCACCAGACCACCTCAAAACACTGGGGTACAACACAGAAACCCAACTAACTGAAATACAAGAGAAAGAGAAGTTCCATTCCAAATTTCATGAAGAACAGCCGGTGGGCAGAGAGGAGAAACGAAACCCAAATCTGTTTATTTACTGCTAGCCTCTCAAGAGGACGTTGAACTAGGCAATATTTTAAATGCCTCCTTGTAGCAGAAACACTAACCGCCTACTCGGTATAATAGTTAGTGAAGCTGACTGTCGTAGAGGTGGACCCCTATTCCAAACCCGGAGAAAGCATGGATGTTTCTAAGCACATATTATTAAAGTTCTTCCACATAGCTTCTCCACGGATGACATCCTCAATGCTCGCATGGCATCCACGAGATACCTAAAAGCATCCATTCCGGGGTTGCTGGTATTTCTCTAACTTGTACAATTACAGGGCTTAAAGTAAACCTTGTATTATCTCCCGGCATATTCGGTTTTGGACAGTAATTGTTCATTGTCACTGTACGGTTCCAAAGTACTGTAAAAGTTCTAATTCAGTACTGTCATTCTTAAACGGGAAGTCAGATTGATTATTTATTGCCTCATCTTACTTTAATGTCCAGTAAATGCACAATGAAGTCAAATAAAGTCAGAGCTAGATAAAGATTTTGGATACATTTTTTAAAAATTTTTCGTCAGTTACTAACTAGGTATACAAAATATCCAATGGCAAGAAAGTAAAAGGTGGTAGTCTTGGAAATAAAGTTGAACAAGGTAGCCCAAACAAATTAAAGTATTAATTACAAAATTACACGAACATAAATAAGCTTTACTTCAGATCTCTGCTTTTTCATAAAATAATTACGATTGAAGAAACTAAAGCTAATTAAGCACTTCAGTCGCAGATAGAAGAGCTAGAGGGATATATCAGTAATAGATGCAAAAGCTTTCACTCGAAATCAAAAATTCTGCGCATTTATCTTGGCGAGATTTGATAGAAATAAAAGTGAAAGAAAAGGCAAAAAACGATAACAAATTAATTAATGAAAAACCCTGCAATTTACAAGAAATTATTATTACATAGGATAATGAAATTAAGATAACTAATAAAAGGACAATTTTTAAAAGCCTTCCTGATTTGGAATACAGTTTATAAACAGTTATATTAAAATTTCGCATACATTGGTTAGAACCTTATTCAACATATGAAAGACAAATATGAACACAAAGACAAAACAATCGTTAAGCCACTTTTACTGGACAATCAAACAAATCACTGTAATAAACAATTTAGCACAGGCGCAAAATATATAAATTCCCATTTGTAAACATAAATTTATATTTTGAAACAGAGATTTTACTCTGCTTAGTTTCAGTAGTTGCCTAAGGATACGACTAATTATTTTGTTTTAATGAATATTTTCGTAGAAGAATAATTTACCTGAGGTACTTCATCCACGAGCTCCTGAACTATATAATTCTTACTTGCATTGCTAATGTCTTGTGTCTCTTGCTGTGGAGAAGAGAGCTGTAGAAAGGATAATCATCATTTTTAAAAATGCTTAAGATATTACTTGGAAGACTATATTGTATGCGTAAAATAATGCAAAAGACATATGAACGAAGCGTTCTGTTTAATATTTACTTTTCTTTCAATTTGGAACAAAAATTTGTTATTTAATGTAAATACTGACTATAAGAAATATCTATATTTAAATTTCTCAGTGATCTGCAAATTTACATATAACGGAACTATTAAGTGTAAATTTCAGTGTGTTGAGTGTAAGAAAATTTTAGTGTGTTCCGGGAGTGAAGTATTGCGCCCCCCATCTTATAATTCACATGTTTAGACATTCCATCATGTTCCTAGCAACCCTATGAAGCTTTGCTTACCGTCTCAAAGACTGAACAATTGATCCACTTGAAACTCTTACAAGGCATTTGTGCTATTTATATGCACAATTTATTATTCACATCTCCTCAAAAAGTGATCTGTATATTGATCATATTTTGCCACATCTTAATATTACTGACTTTTCGATGTATGGTACTTCCGGCAAAACACTGCTTTAACGTCTTCATGGTGGAATATTGTGCATGACTTTTCGTGCCAGCTCACTATGACCAAGAAAGACATTTATTCTTCTGTAACAATGCAATGAAATTTTAGACAGAAATCTTGATAGGTATTAGCATCACTATTGATAAAACAGGGATCGATTATTCGTAAACTTAATATAAAACACAAGCCACAAAATTGTTCAGGGTACATAAATGATTCGATAAACAAATGCACAGGTTCAGAGATTTATGCTGCAGATATTTCGCTAAGACGCCACCATAGGTCATCTGTGAAAAATAACTGATTTAAAATGGTAACAACCTTTTTCTCCTTCAGAAGAATTCTTTCCGTCCTTACAGGTTTATAAACTTCTCAACCATATCGGAAAATTACAGAAAACGAAGAACGTACTCAAGTCCAAATATCAACAGTATTGTATACTTCTTTGACTCACAGGTTCACTTTTAAATTAAACGTACTATTTATGGCTTAAACCTTCTTCCTTTTGTGCTGGATGTTAGAAAAAGGTAAATGCAGCTTATGTTTTCCTAAGAAATATCAAGCATAATATTTATCGCGCTATCTCAGACATAACGATTATTCGCTGCATATTTGTTAAGGTTATAGTACTAAGGTTTGAGTATTAGACTAAATATAACCTTATAATATGAGTTGTTCACTGTGTTCAGACTTCCTCATTCTCTTTTACAGAATACGTTTGAATGATAGCAGCAGAAAAATAAAATGCTGTCTTGTCACAAAATGCATAAATAAACTGTAACAAACCCGCAATGTTTGTATCCTCTCGTGAAAAGGTTTCAAGCAGGCCTTTCACATCTGACACTCATATTTTTTAAACTTCTATAGAAATTGAGACAAAACAAAGTGAAGAAAATAAGATTTTAAAGAGATATCTGCGATTCGTTGAGTTCTCTTAATTCTACTATTGCAAGATTAAGTTACTGTTACGTATATAAATCAAAAGAGAAATTTTTATATGAGCTTTAAAATTTACATCAAATTTATTAAAATTCCCATAAAAAATAAGTTCTTACTTTATTTAAAAACGTGAGTGGTTGTTTTAAATTTCGTATTAGCTTAACATGATTCTCAGAAGAGAATATTAATATAGACTAACAAAACAAACAAGCAATAAAACAAGTTAAGAACTTACTTCGGCAAATGTGGTTTCAAAACTGACAACTTCTCGAAAATCGTCCACTGTAGTATTGATATTGCCATTCAACTGCTGAGCTACTTCCATCATGGATTCGAGCAAACTATCGATCGATGAATCATTTTGCTTATACAGTAAATACGTATGATTTGATATTCCTGACAACACTGGGTCCAACTTGAAAATAAAATAAATTATGTTATTTGTTTCGCTTGGTTTGGTTAATTTGTGCGACGATTATTTGCTTTTAAGATTTTTGCTTTTGTTAAGGAAGTCCTAATAGGAAGTGGCTCGTATTCACATTTCACATAATGCAAAACATGAAAATTATATGCAGCCATTTCGTTCATTAGAAACCGAAACCAGACAAATTACATGCATTCTGCGATTTTATCTACACCAACATTGATGATCTCCATGGGATTTGGCTAAAAGTATAAATTGAAGTCTCATATTGTGCATTGGGAATAAGTGACTAACGTTACTCATCATCAAACATTTTAAGATTTATATCAATACATCACATATTATAAAACCAAGAAGAAAAATACATTTTTATCCTTAAATGTTTCGTATGCTTGTTTTTTAAACAACTGTAAATATAGACTAGAAGAGAAACACGCTAATGTGACAATCAAAATCGTAAACACTCAAGTGTTTCATTCATTTCATTATACTTACGCTAAATACAAGGTTGTTTTTACGATTTTAATTGTAAATATATTTTGCCATTTGTTCCAAAATATTTCAAAGCTAGCAATTTTCTTTACCATTGATTGCCTAAATGCCTTCAATATATACCGAACCACTGTACGTTTTTCGGATGACTCACGATTTGGTTAAGAAACTTACTGATTTGGAGAAAACCTATATCTTAGTTTCGTGTAAGTCACGCATACAGGAGCTGTTGTTCGATGATTATGACCGAAATTTCCTAAATTTCCTTTTCCACAGCTTATCTCTTGGTATTGTGACTGCAGTATTCTATAGAGGTTGCTATCCCATTCTTGCTCAACATGTTCACCCATGACTTAAGAATTCTGATGCCGATTTCAGAGACAACAACGCAGGAGTTCATAGGTCAGGCATTGTAAACGAGTACTTAGAACTGAAAATTATTAATTTATGTCACTAATGATTCCGTATTCGCATGGAATGATTAATGACATAAATTCCATATAGTATCTACGGGATATGCTTCGGAGAAGTATGTGTATTCTACCCAGTACTCTTCGGAACCTTTAACAAAACCTACTTAGAGAATTGTCACACATACCCAAACCGCCAAAGATGATTATATATATATATGGAATGTGGTTCTAGAAGAAGTTATAGCATTTCGTGTTTATGACTTCAAAAAATCAATTTTTGCTCCTGCTTCTTCTTGAGGATTTTCACCTTATAGTTAGTTCTCAAGTCATCAACTCTTGAATCAATAGTACATTAAGCTTTATAAGGCCTATTTATTTAACCGGTGAGGATAAAAATATGAGTACTGGATTATTTTTCTTAGCAGTTAATGAATTCTTTCTTCGTACATATCTACGATACATAAGAAAAGCTTTTATTTGATTCACCGAAACTGTGATTCGATTGAAATGCGTGAATTGTAGGCAGAAATGGCTAGATTCTTAAATTTTAGGCAACATAACCAGAAACAAAACAAGCATGTAGTGTCAGGTTTTTGGAGAATGAAACTTTTAAGAACAGTAGGATCAAGTCATCATGCTTTTATTCCTTCTACCTATGCAGACCTCAGCTAGTTTCTCTGTATCATTATGGTCATTCTGAGGTAACAAAATGAATTATTTCTAGTGTGGAATCAATGTCTTATATAAAGATAAAATATTAGTTCCATCAGGCTTCACTGTTTACACTGTGATCTCTATTTTCAATTTATCTGTAAAACAAAGGGTTTCTGAAGAAGAAACTGTCCCATAAATATTAAGCTGAATTCATCTGTAGACGCAAATTAAACTCAATGTTCCCCATTTTGGTGATAGTTTTCTTTTTCAGACTTAGTCTTTTTTAATATGACTTTTTTAACCTGAAGTCAGTAAGTTTCGCTTGCCTACCATAAATGGTTGTGCCTTGCAGACGATGTTTTGCTGTGAATATTGAATGCTGTCCCTGTTAGAATCCATTACTTCTTCACATCTCCTATGATTTTACAGCAGAGGCAGAAGGTGCACCAACGAGACAGGCACCGACAATCTGATCTTTTCGAAGATCATTCAGGACCCTCATTCCCTGTCTGTACTAAGATTTAGAAGCCATGTATGAAATTTTATTTTAGGAAATTTTAAAAAAATATGTAAAATGATCAAATAATAAACTTCTCCACTCACACTTTTGTTAAAAAAATTTAATAATGTTTGCACTTGCAATGACAATTTTTTAACTTATAATGTAGTAGGAACAACGAATTAATAACACACAATCACCTTGCTGTAATTGTAAGTAAATATTTGTGTTTAATAGATTAGATATGTTTAATGTTAAAATCATTAAACGCATTTATACTTGGACGTGTTTATTTCATTGCATTTCTTTCCGTTCATTTGATTTGAATAAAAGTTAATATACCAAAAATTTAATTAAAACCCTCTGAGCGGCCAGGGTTTCCGCTAAGGAAGCACAAATTTCCCAAATCCACTACGAGAACAAATTATTTTTTTGATTTTAATGTAAAAACTCTCCTGGTATTTCATACCTGCATTTGTTTTCTTTCGATATATTGCCTTAATTTTTTGACATGTTTTAATATGCACGTATATATACGTTCTTACAGATATCACAAATATATTCTAGGGTTAAATGTCAGCCACAATTTACGTGTATTAAATTCTTCTATATAACACCTTGTTAAGTTAGAATACAGCGCCACCTATTGGATAGGGAGAGAAACTCTCACTTGGCCATCTGGATTCGGCTAAGCAACATGCCAGAGCATGTATTAGATCTGAATAGTTAATTACTGTAAATAAATTAGTTAGTTCATTTGCTATACAGTCCACTTATTAGTTTAGAATCACAGTAAATGGTCCGTCGAGCCGGAGACGAACCAGCGACCTATGGATTCAACTTCCCAAAATCTTTCCAACATTTCTTCAACTCTTTCTTCACTATTTAGAACTAAATCACAATAATTTATTTCTGAGTCACTCTTGCATGCACCAGAACGCGATATATCCAAAAACTGTTTCTTGAAATATCAACGGTTGATTTTCTAATTGAAATTTTCCTTCTTTTAAAATCTCAAAGAACAATTCGGCCCCTAGTAACACACCTAAATAATTAAAAATTTTATGATACGTGCAGTGCTTTACAGTGATTCATTTTCTTAGCGTTTTGTTTAGTAATGGATATTACGAGCAGCTGCTAACACGCGAAAGTTACATACTTTTTCGGTTATCATATAAAGCAATTACAAAATACAGTTCATGCGTTGACGAGTACATACCTTTATCACATGCACAGTGTTATTACTGGCATCATTCTTAGCATATAATTGAATAAAGATATCGTGATTCAAGCCCATCTTGCGGAGCTCAACAAGAGTCTGAAGCCAGTCGAATGAAGACGATTTCCAGTTTTCTCCCTCCAATAATGGCCACCCACCAAGAGTCTTCAGAATGTCAGAGACGCTTTGCCAATTTTCCTGATGAGTCTTTTCCGAAGAACTAATCTTCTCCGCTTTTTCTACCCATGTCGGGCCTCCTATGGAGGAGAAAAGAAATCCCATTGTCAAGTTTTTTAGCATTTGCCTTCTGAAATGCATTTTAACTACATTTTAGTTTTCAATGTCTACAATGATTTGGAAAGCAGACGAAGAAGTGTCTTAAAACAGTGATGTTCAATACGTGACACTGTATTTTAAAAAGAATTAGATGATATTTTGCGAATCTGGACTTAGGTTAGAAATATTAATGTTTTGCCGCCCAGCCGAGATAGTGGATTAGTGACTCGGATTGCCGTACGAAAGGGCCCGGTTTCGAATTTCGAAGCAGACTTGGATGTTTGTATGCATATCGTACCTGTGCAATAAGAATATAATCAAAATGTCCTGAGAGATTGGTAATAGAGAAAGAGGGGTAAGAGGCTTCTGGATCATCTTCTCGGGGTGCTCTTCTTCAAAGGTGAGGGCGGAATAGAGCAAAGGCATACTACGTCCTGTATAGTGCCCAAGGCTCTCACCAACTACAAACGCAATCTTGCCTTCTTGCCAAGATGAAATTCGTGGGCTGGTTCTGATATCAAACAAGCGAGATTAGTCACAACAACAACACTAGTGTTAATGTTTGATGCAACTTCATTAAATTTAGTTGACAGTTAACATTCTAAAACGTTACGTGACCTGAAGTATAGGAACAGGCATTCGTTCAATTGCTCTCTATTTGAAAAATAACTCATTTATTTAGAATAACTCATTGTTTAAAGTCTGTGGTACCATAATGTAGATGATGTGGATAGGTATTGTCTTGGGAAGCGGAATTACATTATAATCCTTTTTGTGGGAAACAGATTTTGGTTTTTCTTCGTTCCAGGCGCACATGAATAAATTAGAATATTTTTGACGTAGCTTAGGCTGAAAAAACCGGAAATTATGAGTGGCGTCGATAACTCTTCAATAGAATATCTTATTCAAATGATCTCGAAGCTTCGAAAATTACTTCCTGTACGCTATCTGATTACGCAAGTAGCAAAATTTTGAGATTTAAATTTTTCGTTAAGTAAAGGCTTATGTAAAAATCGATAACATTTATTTCAACGTTAAACTGAAAAATCCCTAAATCGAATTTTGAAAATTGCATCTATGTGAGCACTTTTATCATTAACGTATGTTCCATCTTTCGTAGGCTCTGTATCTATTCGTTTCTATCCAACAAACTCATACAGAGATTCCATCTTCTCTGATTACAGAGATTAAACCCATAGATTTGTAGTACATCTATTGAAAGATCTACTTTGATGCATCCTAAGTTTTAATTATACATTTTAATCAGGTTCTAATTTTTCACATCTGATGGGTCATTATATATTTCATTAGGGATAACTGAAAAGTCCGTACTTATTGAAACGCTAGCTGATAAAGCTATTTTGAACATTTCTATTATGTTTAAGGTATAACGACAGAAAGATGCATAATTTGGAATAAATCTTACCGTTTTCCTTACACTTTTCATAGGATGATTTTAAATCGGAAATATATTTAGATTTATTTTCTGTCATTGTGTTTTCTAGCAGATCTAAAAATAAAAACAAAAGTACTTATTCATCAGAAATTGTATTCGTAACCAGCATTTCATTATACCAGATCTAGAAATGAAAACAAAAGTACTTATTCCTCAGAAATTGTATTCGTAACGTGTATTCGTGTATAGAGTTTGTCGCAAAAACCTAAATTAAATTATCTAGTTATGCATTGGTAATATTCTAATGTTTTTAGGTTTTAGTTTTAGATTTCTGAGCGGAAGACGTAAAAATTATGCAATCTGATACCCGGACGTCTACCACCTTTATAGTTCCTTTGCCATTTATGGAGTTAAGAAATTTTTAAGACAAGGAGATATCATACTGCGCCCTCGCGAGGACTCGAACTCCTCCGGAACTTCCGATTGCTAACCGAACTTTCTTTCCAGTTATAAAACGAAGTCGTGCTGTAAGGAGAAAAAAAATACCTTAAACTTTCACCCGCTTAAAAGACCACTATAGAGGCAGGCATCCAATCTCTAAACACTGGTAGTGACAAATTATTGGCCCCAGTTGCATTTCGGGCTCCATTTTATAACTTTTGTAACTTTTTTAGTAAGGAAAATGTTAAAAATGTGCAATGCCACCGCCGGGGCTCGATCTCTGGACGTGCGTTTCAATTCTATCATAAATTCGTATGATGTGCAGAGAGTAAAATACCTCTCAAAATTCTTTGGAGTAAGTTTCGGCTGTTCGTCCACGTTCCCGCCTTGCCAGTACAGTGTTTAGTGATGCTGACTTCGTAATCATATGTCGAGGTTCAGACCCGGGAAAAGGCATGGCTGTTTGTAAATGTATAGTATCTCTGTGGAGTTTTCGACAAGTTACCAGCAGTGACACACGTCTTTCAACACATTTTTATTAAGCGCAGGGTTAATTGATTTGGATTTATTGTTTTGCAACAAAGCACACCAAGCTTATATGGCTTAGGGAAAGAAGACCTGACTAAAGAGTTCTGCTTCATATTTAGGTTACGCGTGATGAAAAGTGTGCAACGCCCATGCAGAAAGCCTCTTCGCAAAGACTTGAAATTGGTTTGAATTATCGGTTTTTAGTGCTCTTAAAACCGTTCAGTCAAATGTGGACTTAAACACTGAGTGTGTCTAAGTGGGATAAGAAGAAATGTTCTGAAAATTCTTTGGTTCTGAAGATATACAATCCCTATTATACCCATATATATATATATATATATATCTTATATATTATTATATTATTATATTATTTATTACTGATATTTTATTTTCCTGTTTAAAAGATGGCTATCATCAAGCTTGTATGATATCTAAAGTAAAACTTATTTTAACTTAACAAAGAAATTGCTCTCAATTTTTCATTAATTCTAATGATCAATCTCATGGTGGTCCATGGTGACTAACCTCGGAGTTTAAGGTCGATATCGTTTTCAACTTCATTAGCGATAGAGATGTCGTGCTGGATATCAGAAACTTCATGTCTCTTCAGCCAACCACCACAGGCAAACTGGTAGAAGTCTTCACAAGGTTCTACGCTTTGATTCAAATTGGACAGGATTTCGACAGCTAAAATGCAAGTAAAACTCATCAGATACATATTGGTAATTTCACTGCATAGATTTATTAACACAATATTTTCGACTTTGAAAAAATAGAAACATTTTCATTCCAGCCCTGATAATAATATAGGACGAAATCTCTATCGGTGTTGGAAATTACCAAACTAGCAAACTTTTAAGATGACTGTTTCAGAGAAATTTATGCAAATAAATTTCCCGAAATTTGAACTTGAGTATTTAATATCAAGCTTACAAGTGTGGATTACAAATGAAACATTTTCCTGTAAATTGTAAGCATATCTGCTTGAAGTTATTCATTCCTTCAGTTGCAGTTAATTTGTAATCTTTCTCTCAGAAATATATATGTGGTATTTGCGTGAAGCTCACTCTTTACTCTCGTTAGTTTTATTAAAATCGTTTTTAATGATTAAACATTAAAGTTATTCCGCCATACTTTGTCTGAACACCTAGTTTTCGGAATTTTAATAAAATGTTAGCAAATAAAATTATGGCAAAATGCTGTAATTCGTTTAGAATTTCTCTTCACGAGTTTTTTTTAAATTAAAACATTGTAAATCAGTAAACAAATGCCTTTTCTAGGAAACACATTTCCAAATTTTGCTCATGTCAAGGTATTTCTTTTCTCATAAACATCATACGGCTCATGCTTAAATCCAAAACTGTGAATCTGAAACATGCGAGCTAGTGTTATTTAATACTTTGATTTGTATCGTTAATGTTCATAGTGTTGCAAGTGGTTCCACTTATCAAAGCTATGTCTAGCAATATACTGTTTGCCGCATTTAATTAATTGGATCTGCACAAGTGACGTGCTGGTTATGAATTTGGATGAAAAGTCACTAATTCCATACGGAATCCACATACAAAAATATGGATATTATAACAATTTTTCTGGTTACAACGACTGATTGATGATCTGCAAACTAATCCCTTTCCTCTATCAGCCAGTTACTCTCAAACGTTACTTCTACTGTGTGAAAGAGTCATCGCTGTTGTCATAACTGTTTATGGAAACAAGAGGTAAAAGAAAATAAAAGGTTAGCTTTATTATTTCACTAGCGGAAGTACTAGATGCCATTTACTTTAGATTGAGAGTAATGCATCTAGCAATAGGGAGAACGATACCGCTGTAATCCTTCTTTAATAACGATGCAAAAAATACGATTCATAGTCCTACATTTTTCAGTCTGATGCGATATGGACCCCACATAACAAATTTCGATAGAAAGATAAAATAATTCTTTTCTCTCATTATATCAGCAAGAATGACATGCAGTTTTTAATGATTTTCGTCTTTCTTTTCAAATGGTGACAAAGGCTCAAATTAAATCCAATATTTCACCTATATTCAATTTAGTCGATTAAATGTGGCAAAAAATTATCATAATCGATCGGAAATCAATAACGCGAACAAACATTCTTCTTTACATGTATAGATTTTGTAAAACTTACAAATTTTTTATTAACTAACTTTGAAAGCGAGTAGTAGCAACACTTTTCGAAATAAAGCATTGTTATCTCCAACGCGCAAGACTGTTGCCATTTGGAAAAATGATTGCGAAAATTTGCTTCAAGAGTTTTTAATTAATGTTTCAACTGATTAAAGTCGTACGAAGATGGGAATAGTCGAAATGGCTTCCCACGAATTTTTGGAATCGGGACTAATGTATGTAATGATTGGAAATGCTATTTTTATTTCATTTAATTTTTTATGAACAAACTCTATGATTTGAAAGTCAGCAGTGGCAACAGTTCTCGAAATAAAGCAGATTTTCATCTCCAGCTTGCGAAACTGTTGCCACACGGGAAAATGATTGCGGAAATTATAGTTTTCTCGAGTTTTTAATTATTATCTTTGATTTTACTTATTTTTTGGGGGAACAATTGAACGCCGACCTTTTCTAGGACCCAAAAAAGGATTGTAGAAAGTTTGGTGACGATAGCTATAGTAGTAACTGAATTATTAACTAAAAAACAAACATACTTTCTTCTTTATATATATCGATTATTGGTAACGTGAATTTAAAAAATAATATAACGCAAAACTGCAAGCCTCTATGACGACAGCTATTGGATGGAACTTTACAGTAAAATAAATAACTTAACCATCAGTGATTTTAAGCAAAATTACACACCATCTGGATCGGGCAGCACAAAGTCTGTTAAGCTCTTACTGGAAACCCTACCGAAAGTCAGGCGTCGACGTTTATTCTGAAGAGCCTGTTCTCTTAGGCAAGCAGATTGAGGCGAGAACAACCAAATCTCTACTACAAATCAACCTGTTACGTTTTTCTCGAAATTTAACTATTCTGCTTGATATAAAAATCTGTATATGCCTCTGTATTGAACGAGTACATAAAATATAATCTTAAATTTCAACTTTTAGTATAACTTAATAAAGTGTCTCTTTGTGACAGGCATTATCGGGGAAACACAAGTTGGAATGAAAAAATAATTTTTGGGAGAGCAGAGTTTAAAGGGGAGTTTAACATTCAGGCAGATTTTCAGCAATACATATCACTGAAAATATGGGATAAGAATAAATGTGCTTGGTTGAGAATTGTTGTCAAATTATTTTGTGAGAAGACTTAGGGAAACAGGAGCTTTATGAAAACATCATTTCTCACGCAATGACAATTGAAAATGATGTTATGTTTGTAACCGATCAGTAAATCCGATATTTGTTGAGAGCTCAAATATATAAACTGCATAATATATAATAATAAGCTATAGTTTATAACAATAATAATATATAGTTTAGTAGTAGCATAATATATAGTTAGTATAAAACAAAGTTTTGTTTAAAATGTGAACATTTGAAAATCTTGAAAGGGAAATAGATCTACAGAAATATTTACAGCTATAGATGATTCCAAAGGTTTAATTTTAGAATTTAAAATAATCATTTAAAGTTCTGTAGTTACATTTTAAAAAATTATTTTCTTCAAATTTTGATGATTTGAACGAAAATTAGGTTCATGAACTCAAACCAAAGGCAATGACTGATGTCAATCATTTAATATTAAACCCTAAAGAAGAGCGTGTCAAGTTTGAAGGTTAAAAATTAAAAATTAAAAATTCCCAAAATATCGTTATATGAATTAGAGCTAAAGATTAAGACAGGATTTCTGGAGCTTTCTGAAACGATCCTAAACATACTCTGAGCATTTTGTACTACTTCTTTATGCGAAGCAACAATTCTAGCATTGAATTTATAAGATCAAGAAAATCCGTCAACTCTGCAAAATTTTGAAGAAGTTCTGCATCTCTTAATATATAACATTCATTCAATATTTAAGTCTTTAAATAAATCCAACTGATTACTATGAACTTTAGTATAAACTGATTAGTACGTAAGTTTTGCCATTAACGTATAGTAAATTATATTTTATATGTACCAAAACATTTTTTCCAAATGAAATTTTTCTTAATAAATCACATCATAATTTATTAATTAACATAATTATTTAACTTTGTAATCCTAGTTTCTATATCTCTGCACCAAGGGGGACGAAAATGGTCGCTTCAAGTAAAATATCGCCAAGTAGGAAAGTTTGAAAAGGTCTACTTTAGGCAAAGTGAGGCTGAAGACTTAAACACTGGCACTTCAGGCAGTGAAGTTTAATTAGATTATTTGTTAGCTGTGACACACAAGGGCTGTCTACCTGAAAGAAGAGATGCCTTACTGGTGGACATTCTCAAGAAATCTGGCTAGTATTTTCATTACACGTAGGGAAAGCCACAAAACACGCTCCTTGAAGCAACCTGTTAGCTTGTGTTCGAATCCGAGGCCGAACTACCAGTACTCAAATCATTCACTCACTGGTGGAGAACTTCTGTGTAATGATATCGGTAAAGTAATATCCAGCCAGCTAGCGTATATCATTTTTCTCAACTTCTCATATTTGCCTTGCCTCCCGTCATGAGATTTCTTTTTGGTCGTTTGAAATAACCGTGGAATCGGAAAGTGACATGACGGTGTTGCACAATCAGTTAAAACGAATGTGACATATGTGCTGAAAAGTATCATAGAAAAGTATTTCACTGTTTGCTGCGAGATCTGCAAAAACTCAATCATGGTGTACATAAGCAGTGAACGGAAACAAATTGAGTTTGTAACTTTGTAGGGTTCACTTGCTTATCTTCTAAGTGACAACAGTATGTGTAGCAAGTTCTTGTAGGACATGAGAAAAATTAAAAGTACCTCTTTAAAATTTACAATACGTCAACTCGACGCTAACACACTACGCCTCCTTTGAGCGGTAACTAAAATCACAGAATTAAACTAAAAATTCGAAGGTGTTCACAAGTAATAGAACTAAGCTACAGGGCATAGATATTCCTGTTTCTTAACCCTAGACGAAACTATTAGAAGCAAAGTGAATGCATTTATGCCACTAGCAATAACACAGGGAGTAGAAGCTCACGCTACAGAGCTGACGGCAATAGCCTCTCTCCAACTTTCCTTCTAAAGCCCGGTATTTAAACTTTTTCTACTTCATGTAGAATCTGTATTCCTTCACGCGCGCTACCAAATTCAAATATTCTGGCATTGCTAATTAGGGGAATGAAGGCTTACAAGAAAGTTTAAATTTAAACTTTAACTTGTTAGTTAAAATAAATATAAATCCCTACAAGTTATATTGCATGTAATTTTCTATAACATCGGTCCTCGATATTGATCGAATGAAAATTTAAATGTTTGAGCTATCTTAGTGAAATTTTAGGCTATAAACTGGTATTTACGAAACAAACTAAAACCCTTACGAAATAAAAATAAAACAATAATTAATAGTTGTTATGTAAAGAAATTTGGGAATGCGAATAACTTTAAATGTGCAACGAAACTTGCAGACACATTTAAAAAAACGTAGCTATTTTTTTTTTTTTGAGAGAAAACGTAACTGCATTCTTTAAAGTACCAATCATTTCCAATCATACCTCATCACAAGTAACTTTTTTCATGTTATCTCTGAAGCTGCTTCAGTACTCACTTTGAATATTGCAAAGTTGCCAACAACTTCCACACAGTTTGACGCATCATTAAGGCTTATTATTTATTTTAAATGGTCATTTGTTTTGTATTCTTGCTATTTTAATTCATCTTTTCAAAATGCCTTGGATGAAACAAGCTCGGTGCTTGAGAATAGGACTAGAAAATCATCTATTTATACATTGCGACTTTTAAGGAAAAAGTTGTTAAAGGATATTTTAATCTTACCTGCTTTAGCGCATCCAGGTGTCAGGCAGAAATCATACTCGGAAGAGATGTTAAGGAGAGATGCTAGGTGCCCTATGTTCACTGACATTTCAGTAGATTGTCCAGAATCTACAGTAGAATATTTCTCTTAAACTGTGAATGTAGGTTAACATATTTATTTACATCTAAATATAAATATAAGCAATATCTAACAAAACCATAAAGATTAGCTCATCTAGTAAAGAAAAACCAGAGCAAGTGCTGTATAATTAAGATCATTGCTGTTTCTTTTTTTAACCGTGGGTAAGCTCATAACTTCAGCAGGTTTCCCCATACTTGATTTTCTATATTAGCTGTTTCTAAGAAAACTAGTTAGTCTTTCATTTCATTTGATTTCAAACATTCATTTGAGCTGCCAATGGCTTCTGAAGGTGGATGTCATTCATATGCTATGATATAAAATGCTGGTGTTAAATATCAGAAAAATAAGACTTTTAACGTAAAAAGGTGGAAGATTATGCGATAGATTAAAATGTAGTAACGCTTTCTTTTCCCATCAAAGTGATTGAAAATATCTGACAAAAATGTAGAGGTGACTGTGATAGATTTTGTCATGGAATGTGCACGCAAAAAGAGTACTTTAAGCGCTGTTAAAGATTAGGTAAAATTATTCTGCTAACGTGAATAGTAGTTCCAAATGTGGATTTCGAGGAACTTGAAACATTACATGAACGCGGAGCTTGCTGACAAACATTTCAGCTATGGAACTGTGGTAGAGATGAAGCAGATATTAAAAGAAAGTTTTGGTTTAGTTGATTACGGCAAAGCCTGCTAGGGCTATCTGTCCAAGGGAAGGGATGGCTTTGTGGAGGACTATTTAAAGGCAATTAGCTGTTACACGTGGGGAAAACCACAAAAACGCCCTTGCAGCCAGCCCCTTTCGCTTGGAATGGAAACCAGGTAGGAGGTCCAGTGTTTAGCAATTTTATATTAAAAGAATGCAAAGAGAGCGATTCTCGGATACCTCAACAGTGCCCATTTTCCACTTGCCCGTTGAACTGTTCGCAGTTTCGTAGAAAAAAATGTATAATTGCCTGCTTATCCCACACATATAATGCATATTTACTATATAACTCATTTACAGAATTCTATTTAACCCATGTGGCAAGTTTAAACATAAGCTAACTTCCTCCGGGATGAGAACAATGAGACTATGCTTATCGTGTCATGCTTCATATGTCAGCATGGAACACTTCAGATAAATTTTTAAAAATACGAATTTTACCTTCTTTGATACATTCTGGTATCAGACAAATTTCGGATGTAGAGGAAACTTGACGAGGATATACTAGGGAGCTCACATTTGTTGGCAAGCAAGCATTTGGTCTGGAATCTGGGAAGAAAATAATTTACCCATTTTAGAATTATATACAGGGTGATCAGCGAATAAGCCCTGATTTCAAAATTAAATATCTCTACAACAAAGATCGATAGAATTATGCGGTAAACTGTATGTTTATTAGAAAAACTGTAAAAATGGTGTACAAAAGTTTATAAAATTTAATTATGAAAATCGTTATCAGATGGCGCTCTAATCGCAACGACCTATCAATAGCCTTTAAAATGTGCTTCGAAGTCGAAAGTGATCAGTATAACTGTTGGCTAGTGAAAAGAGGCTAGCTTAGAAAGTGAAATAATGTATTCCATTTAACAACGTGTATTTTGGTTCTGGAATTTCACAGATTAGAACACAGTCCTACAGCAACACGTCGCAGTTTTCGAAACCTATTCAATGTTCCAGTTGGACCCGATGCGAAAACCATTCGCATGCTCTTCGCGAAATTCGAATGGACTGGAAACGTGGCTGATGATCGAAAGGAAAATGTTGGACCTAAGCAAAGTATAGTCACTCCTGAAAATGCAGTCAAAGTTTTTGGATTTGTTCAGCAAAAAAACTTGGAAAAGCATCCGACAGATTGCATCAGAGATTGGTTTGAAGTACACGAGCACACAAAAACTATTTAAAAATAGCCTACGGCTGTTTCCATACAAAATCCATCAGGCCGTACCCATGAAAGCTGTGCAACAAAGGGTTGACTTTGCGAATCAGATTCTAACAATGATCTACAACGACAGATTTGATGTGAGCTGCATCTGGTTCACAGATGAGGCCCATTTTCATTTGAAGGGAATCGTTAATAAACAAAACTGGAGATTTTGGGGTACCGAAAATCCTCATTTGTGTGAAGAAAAAGCACTGCATTCGCCTAAAGTTATCACATGGGCTGCGGTATGCGCCAGAGGCATTATCGGACCCTTTTTCGTACGACAAACGATAAATACTGAACGTTAGGTTACAATTTTGAAACAATTTGTCAGCACTCAACTAGCGTTGAAGGATCGACCAGGTATCGACTGGTTCCTGCAAGATGGGGGGCTCGACTACATCGAACAAATAAAGTTTTTCACTTTCTTCATGAATACTTTGGGAATAGAGTAATTGCGTTAGATTATCCTCAATTTACTGACACAGGAATAGCTTGGCCTCCATTCTCCGTATCTGAGTCCTTGTGACTTCTTTCTGTGGGGCGCATTGAAAGACGCTGTCTATCGAAACAATCCTGCTACTCTAGATGAGCTTGAATCGTTTATTGGTGTTGCATGTGATTCCATTTCGGTCGAGACATTGCAAGACGTGATGTCAAATTTCATTGTTCGTTTACGCCACCTCATTGTTCCGAACGGTGAACATTTTGAAAAAATTGTATTTTGGTTGCAAAGGCTGCTTCACTTTATTTTTTTAATTAATTTTTTTTACTATTTCCAGAGAAAAAGTTTTCAGCGCAGAGCGCCATCTGTTAACGATTTTCGTAACTAAATTTTCTAAACTTTTGTACACCATTTTTACAGTTTTGCTAATAAATGTACAGTTTATCGCATAATTCTATCGATTTTCGTTGTAGAGATATTTAATTTTGAAATCAGGGCTTATTCGCTGATCACCCTGTAAAATACAAATTTACTATTTGCGCAAATAGGTTAGAAATAGCCTATGCATGCACAAAGACGCTCGCATACACACAAATATATATATATATATGCGTACACACCGTGCCTACAGAAATACTTACCATTACCCAACCATTATCTTCTAACCGTTAGTAACATATATATTTCCAATTAAAAATATTCCAAATAATGGAAAAATTCACGTTTTGGCATTTTCAAATTTAAAGGAATCAATTTTGCAAAAATTACAGAATCTGAACTTTTTATATGTTTGCGTATGCCCTATATTTAAATTTAGGAAAACTGTATGTTCATTATAAAAATTACAATGCAAAATATCTCTCTCCGGTAAGACAAAAAATAGCCGAGATATTTAATTTCAAAATTTCGATATTTGATGTTATTTTCATTATGCATTCAGGAATTGGTTAATAAAAAATTTAGAATAATTCAAAGGTTAATTTTTTGCTTTAAATGCTGTTAAATGATATTCTTTTATACTTAGTTATTTTTATTTAAAATTTTATCATTTTTGGTACACCGAAAGACTAGACACGTATGTCATATATAAGCGTTCAACATCTAACAATGCGTCAATATTTTAATAGCTGATATTTTATTACTTTTAGAATAATAATTCGACAATAATAAAAATATTCATAAAAATACATGTACTTTTTATGTTTTCTAAAAGCAATATTGTTACGATTTGACTACGCGCCAACAATTAAGCCTCCCAGTGTTTTCTAGAACACGAATTCTATAAAATTCTATGAACAAGATTCCCATTCTGAAAGAAACTAATATCGATGTATAAGGTATTTCTCATGCCTTATTATGCCTTCGTGGTGTAATGGTCAGCACACTTGGCGCGTATTCGAGAGGTTCGAGTCCCGGCCAGAGCGCTGTTCATTTTTCACATCTTCTGCTTCCGAAATATCCTAATGTCTCTACAGTGGCGCCCTAACTAAAAAAGGTGGTGAATTATGATTCTTGACCACCAGGATTTGGCGACTGAGTCCCCTAATCCCCAATCGCTCTTAAAAGAGGGAAATATGTAAGGTATTTCTCCGACTTCTTAGCATGCATGCGTGGTGTAATTGTCAGTACGTCAGCCTTTGCTTCATCAAGTGTCTTTAAATGATCCCATTTACCTATTTTTAAATAGTTTTTATACAGGCTTCTAAAAATTGTTTTTCTTTGAACCACATTCCTTAGTAAAAAATGGTGAACATTAACTCTCTTTTAGCTCTTTTAAACTGAAGATCTTTTCTGTAGCTAGAGAAGTTTTTTAAAGAGTTTGAAATTTGTTTCTGCTGTAGGTGACAATATCCTTTCAGAATGCGAGAAGAAAACAGAGAGACGCTTCAGGTTTTAATAAGGAATAACAGAACCTTGATCTTTCCTTCCTGTCTGGGCGTTTCTATCCAATATGATTCGTCATCTCTAATCCTGAAAGAATTTCTATTATAAAGTATTTCTCCCGCCTTCCTAGCGTGTCTTCGTGGCGTAGGGGAAACCGGTATTTCAGAGGTCCGTGGTTCGATTCCCGACGAAGGCGGTTGCATATTTCTCATCTCGCCTGCTTCCAAAAAATCCTAATGTCTCTGCAGTGGTCCCCGAACTAAAAGGGTGTTGGATGAGGTTTCTCCACCCCCGTGATTTGGCGATAGGGTCCCCTGAAACCCCAGTCGCCCTTTAAAAAGGCGTGTATCTAAGGTATTTCTCCCGCTTTCCTAGCGCGCCTTCGTGGTGTAGTGGTTTTGCACGCTAGGCCGGTATTCCAGAGGTCTGCGGTTCGATTCCCGGTGAAGGCGTTGCTAATTTATCATCTTGACTGCTTCCAAAAATATATTAATGTCTCTACACTATAAGTATTATTATAGATACGCGCAGGTATG